GTACATTACAGATTTATGTTACATCTAATGTTGATAAACAATGTTTATTTCATGACTTTAATTTTATGCGTGTTACCATACTGGTGTTTATTAGCTGTGTGGATGACACTGAGCACCTTCGATATGCTGATACTCTTTTCTGCTTGTGGGAGAAGTTGATTGTGATGAGCATTGGCTCATTATGTAACTTCCTCATCACCACCTGCATGTGGGTGTGCTAACGTGTCTAACTGTGTAACAAAAGATGTGTAGATGTTGATCATTCAAAATACAGACATATTGCCTCTATAAATTAATAAAATACGGTAATTAACTGTAAAAATGAAAAATTATTTTTACGGTTTGTACCGTGTTTTTAACGGTAAAGTATTGGCAACCACAGCTGCCGTTTTTTTACTGTAAATTTTACGGATTTATTTTTTACTGTGTAAATGTCATAAGAGATTTATTTGAGATTTAGTTGACTAAAATATATTTTGTTTAATTAAAGTGTAATTTAATTAAATATTATATACATTTATTTATACAAAATATTCTAACTTAAAATTAAATAAAACGTCTAATTAAAATATGGAATATAGCTTTTCCATTGAAGACCAAAACTTAGTAATTAATCATAATTAATATGTAAAATTATGTGTCAGCAATCAATTTACATGTAAGAACAGTAGCCATCTGAAAATGCAGGATTGTGCAATTATTTAGCAAACCTTTTATTTTAACGTGGTAAACTACTAGTCTTTTTAACCAGTCCTTGGGTACTTTTCAAATGTGTGTGCATCATACATCACACCAAGATTAATTCTGATTGGATATTTACCAGAATACATCTCTCAATCACATTCTCGTCTCATTTTTATTAGTCAACGAAAATGTCAGAATATTTTACTATAGTTTTCGTCCTCGTCACTTCATTTTTATTTGGTTTTTGTCTAGTTTTCATTGGTAGAATATTGTTCACAGATTATGACGAAATTAACACTGCATTACTAATACAATAGCACGTTACTTTTATTTCCAAGAAAATGTCTTTTACTTTCAAATAAAAGTAATGTCAGTTACTTTGTCTTCACATTTATGTGACAACTGACAGCTCTTTTGTCTCATGTTGAGAGAAATGTAAACTTATTTACTCAACTCATTTGCATAAAAAAAATGATTCAGTATCCCTTAAAACTAGGGGTGTAACAAATCACAGTTGATACGTGATTCGTACAGATCAGAAAACAAACTTTCATAACACACGTGACCCGAGGATTATTATTATTTTTTTTTTATTTACTAAATTTGTAATAATCGCAGAGAGATCGCCACTTTTAAATCAATTAATACTTTCCTGTAAAATATAATGAAGACGGAAGAAGTTGTGGCAGGTTATTCAGGATGTTGTGGGTTTCTTAGGTTATTAAAGGTGTTTTCTGTCACTGCTTGTTTAGCCTGCATTAATGCATGCTGATTAATCATTAAAAGGTTAGAATCTCAACACCCACACTACATAAATTATAAATTATAGTAATTTGCATATGTTTATTTATCCTTCGAATCGCTGCATTCAAATCTGTTTGAAAAACACAAAAATCAAGAAAGAGATTCAATCTTTAGTTTACAAACAGTCAAATAACACATAGGTTCTGGCATAACAGTTTAAAGTTTAGATAATAACCACTGATGTTTACGTTAAAAAATCCCCGTCATATGCCTTTACCTTGACGCTCAAAAAGGAAAGTTGTAGGCAGCTATTACGTTATTTAACCAATAGGTGGCGACAACCAACCATCTAAAAATATGCCACTAAATAATTCTTCAAAAATGATACATTAAGCAATGAAACAAGAAATTTTATGGGTGAATAACTAAATCATTTATTGGAAAACATGCAACAAACCCCGTGGATCATGGAAACAAACGCATATGAGCCTTCATGAACGGCTAAATCAGGCGTGTCCAAACTACGGCCCGCGGGCCATCTGCGGCCCGCAATCAGTTTTGTGGCGGCCCGCGAGGCTTTTTATAAATATCAATAGAATCTGGCCCGCTATACAAAAATGAACGTAATTCAATAAATAATGCATTCAATTAAGCAGCAGTTCTTGTTATGATCTATCTATCTATCTGTCTGTCTTTCTGTCTGTCTGTCTGTCTATCTATCTAGCTATCTATCTATCTATCTGTCTACACACAGTTGAAGTCTGAATTATTAGGCCCTCATTGATTTATTTCTTCTTTTTTAAATATTTTCCAAATGATGTTTAACAGAGCAAGAACATTTTTACAGTATGTCTGATAATATTTTTTCTTTTGGAGAAAGACTTATGTATTATTTCGGCTAGAATAAAAAGCGGTTTTAATTTTTTTATGAACCATTTAAAGGTCAAAATTATTAGCCCCTTAAGTCTTCAGAACAAACCATTGTTATAAAATAACTTGCCTAATTACCTTAACTTGACTAGTTAACTTGATTAACCTAGTTAAGCCTTTAAATGTCACTTTAAGCTGTATAGAAGTGTCTTAAAAATATCTAGTCAAATATTATTTACTGTCATCATGGCAAAGATAAAATAAATCAGTTATTAGAAATGAGTTACTAAAACTAATATGTTTAGAAATGTGTGGAAACAAATGTTTAACTCTCCGTTAAACAGAAATTGGGGAAAAAATAAACGGTGGCTAATAATTTAGGGGGGCTAACAATTCTGACTTCAACTGTATATATATATATATATATATATATATATATATATACATACGTGTCTGTGTGATGTATGTAAAAATTGGCCCGCGACAACGTTTGTTTTTTTGCATCTGGCCCTTGGCCCAAAAAGTTTGGACACTCCTGGGCTAAATACTGTGTGCCCGTGCCGTGGGTCCGTGACGTGTCTCACAACTCGGGCTTGACTCTGGCAGGTCTGGCAGGTCTCATGAATAATTAAGCAGCCCGCTCTCCTCATAGGATAAGAAACTCCGCTATGAATAATAATGAGAAACCGACGCATCATCATTGCACTTGCAGTACTGCGGTACGTCGCCGATTTTGATCCCGCCCCTAAAATCATTTTAAACCCGGAAGCTGAAATTTGCTGACAAAAGCTCAAAATTATCCAGTTTTCCCCACAATTAAAGTTGACAGGTGCTAACATTGTCTTAACTGATGCTCAACACACACAAATCTGTTAATATAAAAAAAAAGTTCTCCAGGGTGTCCTGAACCTTTAAACGAATGCTACGGGGCGGTATGACACTGTTCCTCTTGCTTGTTAACCAGCTGACCACTTTCCTGGATGTGGACGGCTTTTTCCTTGTTACAAGTTTGTTTGGTAGCTCTACACGTTCGGCGGCAGACTTGAGATGCAGAGTTGACTGCGATAACAGGGTTCAAGTCTGGTGAAGAACGGTTCCAGAAAACTAGTAAGACAAAAACAGAAGCCAAAAAATAAAATACACAAATAAATAACAGAATAATAGTGTGGTAAAAATCTGAAAACATGGTAAAAATCAGACGAGGGCTTTTCTTTTTCTGGATTGCTTTTTAAAACACTGCGATTGGGTTTAGGAAAGAGGGTGGGCGGATCAATCTGTAATATTTAAAACACCATTGGTTGGGTTTAGGGAAGAGAGAGAGTGGGGGGCATCAGTCAGTTGGTCAGTCAGTAAGTTAGTCAGTCGACAGCAGCCTCTGATGGATTTATGTGAGAACGGCAGGCATAAATCGAACTTGCAAGAGATATTTGAGATCTTAAAAAGCGTATACACCGCGGCCTCTGGTGGTTTCGCGAAAACAAAAACTGCAAAAATAACGTAGCACCTGGGACCTATTTTGCTCTCTCCAGAAATATATATAGGGGTACATAATCAGAATGTGCCTGGGTTGTTTTTAACAGACAAATACACAACACTCAGCTAATTGTATTTTAAATTGTTTAAAGTTAGAAAGGGTTGGTTATCCATTATTTCCAGATCCCAATGTTGACAGAGCATGATGTAAGTACACGTCAGCAAACTATAACAAAAGCCCCTTTCACACATACAGACCTTTCCGGAAAATTGCCGGCAATTTCCCGGAAAGGTTGTATGTGTGAACAGGTCCTTTTTGAAAATACCGGTAAATTCGTTCTGGCTATTTTCCGGAAAGAGAAGTTGTAACATTACCGGCGATTTGCCGGAATGCTGCGCTGTGTGAATGCAGAAGGAAGATTACCGTAATAAGCGCGTGCACGTCTAGATTGTGCTGACGTGAGACGTCTGCTTTAGCCAAGTACAACAGTCAGACGCATTTACGTCCGCGCGGTTTGTGAGAATAAAAACCTTTGAATATTTTTCCAGACACATTTAGCCGCTAGAAGTTAGTCAGATCACGTTTATATGTTCTTCTTTATGCCAACTGTGTAAATAATCATCGATGAGATGCTTATGATAAGCCGTTGTTTGTTTACCTTCAAGCTTTGCGTGTGCCTGTGAGCGCCAGCACACGCACATATTATGAACATCTCGACATGCGAAAGTGATCCTGCGAAAGTTGTTCACAATATTGATCATCCACAGAGTTTGTAATTTAGGCAAATGTTTACAAATACAAGCGCAGCCGTTTAAAGCTCATTTGTGGTGAATGATGTCAGAATTTAACGGTATTTTGGAATGGATGTGTGAATGCTCTTTTCCGGAAAAATTCCGTAACGTCCTCGCCTGTGTGAACAGCGCTTTTTTCAATATACCGGTAAAGTCGTTCCGGAAATTTTCCAGATATTTACCGGTATTACTGTGTGAAAGGGGCTAAAGTTCTAGTGGGTTTTGGATATTTTAATGAGCAAACTTATATTGTGCTTTTAAAATGATTTTCAACCCCATACCTTATTATTTATTGGAGAAATGAGCAATGTTGCAACCTTGCCCCTTGTTGCAACCCTCTTCCCCACTAAATTGTCAAACAAACATTGGCATAAACATATTTTGTAGGACTATATGCTTTTACTTGAAAGATTTTGTCAGAAAACACACAACATTCAATCAAGCGACAGTGACCAGGCAGAATTCCGCTCTTAATAAACTCCCGCACTTCCACTGATCTCACTCCAAAACAGGGATTCGGTTCCCAACCCCTCTGACACCCCGCACCACGTGACCACACTTCCAAAAACACTTTAAAAGACTCGGGATACTACCAGAATTCCCACATGAGTGCTTTCACACCTCTACCTCAAGGAATCATCCCGGGATCCGACAAACAGTGCAGAATAGCCTCGAAGTGTAATGATTTCCATTCAGCATCCAAAAGCACCGCGCAGCCTCTGACTGTCTGCTGCAGAATCGCCGCTTTTATCCATATTCTAACGTAATATGGCACTGAGAAGCACAGACGTGTCTAGTAACGTTAAGTCTGCTGTTTTACTCGGATGTGTTTTAATTCTCTGCACCGCGCCCAATAATGTGGACTCTTACCTCTATAACAACCGCTACGTCGGGTAAGTGTTTCATTCATTCAAAGTTTATAACCTGGAGTTGTAGTGAAGTCTGGAGTTCACTCGTTCTTTACTCGCGAACGAATCTTTTTATTGAACTTTCCTAAATGCCTTTATACATTCATGAATAACGTTGCTAAATTTAATCAAACACACAACAAAAATACAGTTTGTAACCTAACACGCAGCCTATATGCGATTTAAAAATATAATGTGTAAAAAGCGCACGCGGTGATGCTGAGTCAGTTGACTCGTTCAAATGAACCGAATTACTATAAATGAATCGGAGTTGTCATTTCGCGAGAATGCCAAGGCGTAGGGAGTAGGGACACGGCGAAATCTTTTTGAAGTATTGAAGTGCACTCAGCGTCTCTGCGAATGAAGACTAGAGATCAGCCTGTCTCTTCTTATGTCAACACAGGCTTTATAAAACAAAGCAGTTTCAAGAGGCCAACATTTTTGCTTTGCTGAAAAGCACTCCTTAAGTGACATCTTAAAGTTTGCAGTTCGTCTGGACAGGTACAAGCACGACATGCAAATGACTTCAAGAAAATCATAATGGAAGCATACTGACAGTTATCAGACTGATCATTATGTTGTTTGATGATAATAACCAAAAAAAGTAGAGGAGAGCAGGGCACAAAGTAAACCCTAAGTTGAGACTATTCAAACGATTTGAGTGATTCCCTCAGTTCATTTGAGTAATGGGAAATTCAATTAATTAAGTTGACCAACTGTGGCCTCTTCTTTGAATTACAGTAACTTAAATGTTTAATTACCGATAACTTAAAATGGCTAATAGATAAAACTTCCAAAGTTTTCAGCTTTTATATGCTACTTACTCACTTACTCCCAGGGCCGTTTATATCAAAGTTATTTAGCCGCTCCCTGTTGGTGTTTTGTAAAATCTTATTTTTATGGTGGGTCATTAGCCCAATGCTCAACCCCCAACCTGGAGGACCAGAACATACACACACACACACACACTATGGAAAATTTAGCTAACCCAATTCACCTATAGTGCATCTCTTTGCACTTGTGGGGGTAACCAGAGCACCTGAAGGAAACCCACACCAACACGGGGAGAACATGCAAACTCCACACAAAAAACAATAAACTGATTTATTCAGGACTCAAACCAACAATCTTTATGCTGTGAGGGGACAGTGCTGCCCACTGAACCACTGTGTCACCCCTGCGAGTATATCAATTAAGAAAAATGTTTATAAGCATTTATATATTTACTTTCTAAGTGCCTCCGTCCTACTGTGCTTCAGCAAAATTCAGCATAACAGGCAAAATGACTACCATATAACATATATCGACCAATCAGCGCAGTTGTCAAGGCAGAATTTCAAGCACAACCAATCATTTTGAACAGAGACACGGTGAATCTTTTAAAGAAATTAAAATGTTAAGTTCAGAGAACTAAAAATATTAATTAAAAGTTTTTTTGCTGCCTAACGAGTAAGTTAAAAACATCTGTTTAAGTTTGGAAAACTTGGTATTTTAAGTAATATCAAATTATATATCTAATATCTAATTATCTTTAGTTGTGACAACAGCAGGGTTTACAGTGTAACACTTTTTTGGTTTTGGCCAAATAATAAAGAAAGTAATGGGTTTAGACAAACTCTATTTTATTTTATTTTTACCAACAACATACAAGCCTCTCCTACAAATGACACAGCTTGTATGATCGCAGGACCTATGTTTTCTGTGCAGTGTTGCCAAAAGTGCCAAGAGTAAACATGATCCTATTTACCCCATCTGTAATAGACATTGTAATAGAGGGTTAGTTGTAACATGTGCTTAAAAGTCAGATTTCACACAATTAATTTAAATTCAGTTTACTTTAAATAGTATTTTTCCTCAGTACTTAACACATTTTTATAAATCTGTTGGATAAAGACATTTGGATTTATTTGCATCATTATCCATTATCATACAATGCATCGATTTGTATGTATATATATATATATATATATATATATATTGTATTAAAAAAATTCTATAAAAATGTTTCAACATTACATTCAAAATTTAAAAAAAAAAATGTTTTTATTTTTTTGTTTATTGAATTGGTGTCCAACAGTGTCCCAGAAAAAAATTTGTGTTTAATAGACATCTAAAAGACTAAATGTGGCGTGGCTTGGCTTAAACAAGGTTTAATTTGGACTGTCAGTGAAAATATAATAGACATCTAAGAATAGGCCAAAACTAGACTAATTGTCAAGTAGAATGATTACACAGATTTAATTGTGTAGTCATTCATTTCTGTTTATTTGATGACTAGTCTAGTTTTGGCCTATTCTTAGAAGTCCATCAGATTTTCACTGACAATACAAGTTCAGCCTTGTTTTAGCCAAGACGACTAGGTCACACTTTACAATAAGGTTCATTAGTTAATGTTAAATAATGCATTTACTAATACGAACAAGCATTGAACAATACATTTACTACAGTATATATTCATGTTAATAAACGTTAGTTAATGAAAATAGTACAGTTGTTCATTGTTAGTTCAATGTTAACTCATGGTGCATTAACTAATGTTAACAAGCATGGACTTGAATGTTAATAATGCATTAGTAAATGTTTAATTATGATTTATAAATGCTGTACAAGTGTTGTTCATGATCAGTTCATGTTAGTAAATGCATAAACTAATGGATTTTATTGTAAAGTGTTACCGACGACTATGTTTAGACATCCATTAGACATCTTTTAAAAACAAAAATGCTTGCTGGATAATTTGCAACAACCTGTTACAACTAACCCCATTGTGTCATGTTTTGCTCAATACTGGCCAGCAGTCACTGTATGTTTTTTACATCTTTCAAAATGGTTCCATCTTTTAGCCTAGAAGACAGTAGTCACAACAATTTTTACTTGCATTATTTCTCAGACTTTTTAAAAAATAAAATAAAAATGTCAGTGTTTTCAATTATTGACTGTAATAAAAAATATACTTAAATGGTGCAAAAATGGTTTTGCCTATGTTTCTCTTTCAAATTTCGCTGAACTTTTTCAATAATTGGCTGGAAGACGTCTGCCGACACTGTGGTGAAAACCTCGGAAGCATACCATGGTTAACCCTGAACAAATAGCTTAAAACTGTTACATTTTACCCTGTGTTACTTTGTGCCATGCATTCTCCTAAGTGTACAGCATTAGATTTTATTAGACTTTTCAGTTCAGTCAAATCTAACTGCAGTTTTAGTGCCGTGAATTTGGATTAAGTGTTAACGCTGCTTTCTACATCAAACAAGTGAACCAAAATCGATCAAATATTATGTTTAACTCTGCTTCCAATATAAATACCAACTCTGTCTGAAGAAGAAACCCAAACCCAAAAGAGCACTTGATCTCTGGAGTCTGCTGAGATATCATATCACTGTCTAAATGACTGAGTATTCCATGATGTCATATTCTGATTTTATTTATATTTTTTGAGCGAGTTGCTACCTAACGCTTCATTATGACCAATGAAAAAAAAATGAAACCCATTTTAGAGATTCTTGCAGATATCATTATGATTTTAAGTAAGCAGCTCAGCAATGCAGCATTGGTCAAAATGTTGTTCAAATTGGTCAAATTCCTTCAAAGTCAATATTCATTCATTTTCCTTTGGCTCATTCACTTGCCCTTCCAGCTGCAGCCCAGTACTGGGGAACACCCATACACACTCACATGCACACATACACTACAGCCAATTAAGTTCATCCAATTCAGATACCGCATTTCTTTGGACTGTGGGGGAAACCGGAGCACCCAAAACCTCATGCAAACAGAAAAAGAACATGCAAACTCCACACAAAAATGCCAACTGACCAAGTGAACCAGCGACCATCTTGCTGTAAGGCGACAGTGTTAACCACTGAGCCACCGTGCCACCTTTATTGTAGTAAAATGTGTGAAATATTATTGCAATTTCTATAATCAAATAACTATATTTATATTTTATATATTTTAAAATGTAAATTATTAATGTGATGCAAAGCAAAGCAGTGTCACACAACCCTTCAGAAATCATTTTAATATCTTGATTTGCTGCTCAAAATTCTTACTAATTATTATAACATCTTATTATCTTGCAATGTATCATTTTTAAAATAAATCATAATTTTTAGGATATGATTTAAAATATTTAAAAATAGTTTTTTTACAATAAAAAATGTCAAATTTCAACATCCTGTCAGTTGTACGGTTTAGGGTGCTATAAATTCCTGTCCTGTATAGGATCAGTCAATCGTCAATCTGTGTTTTCTTCATTCCATCAGTTGGATGTTTTACATGGGGCTATAAAACACACCAATCAACGCCTCTTCACGTATGTGAGGGTGCGAAACCAAGAGGTATAACATCATTCCTGACACATTCACACACCAACCTAAATGCCAAAGTTTGTCCTGAATGTCTAATTGATTCACCAGCTGACATCAGACAGAGAAGATCCTGAATGTTTTAGTGTAGTAATATATCAATTCATGAAACTCTAAAACAGACAACATGACAAAAAATAGCCTAATGAGACGTCTTTATATTCAGCAATTTAAAGGAGCTACTCTGGCTGATTGGAAAAAAAAGGTGACTAAGATGTTTGCATTTTTAAGCTGGAAGTATACAATTTGCTGCATTTTACAGCCAAAATGAACACTAGAGGCAGTAAAACACCAACAACTATTATTTCATGCAAATAAAGATTATACTGCAGATTATTAATTAATGAAGACTCATTTTCATACAAACTGCTTGCACAATACAGTGATCTCACCACAAAACACTTTTAATTTCATGATATATTGTTTAATGGGTAAGACACAGTGACTCAGTGGACTCAGTGGGTAGCACTATCGCCTCACAGCAAGAAGGTCATTGGTCACTCCATTGTGTGGAGTTTGCAAGTTTTCCTCGTGTTCATGTGGGTTTCCCCGAGGTGCTCCAGGCTTCCCTCACAGTCCAAAGACATGTGCTAAAGGTGAATTGGATATATTAAATTGACCGTGAGTGTGTGTGTGTGAATGCAAGAGTGTATGAGTGTTTCCCAGTACTGTGTTATGGCTGAAAAATCTACATTAGTACCAGCAAAACAACCATTTATATTTATAAAATCCACTGTTGTTGTCTGCAAAAATGTAAATAATAATCATATTAAACATACTCTAATGACGTGCTTTATCACATCATGCAGATATGCACATCGTGTATATTGTGTGCATAATTAGAAGGTTTACGCAGAATGGAGTTTTTCTTTTAGCATGCGATTCAGTTTAGGACTATAATCAGTCCACTCTGGAAATATGATATTTTCCACTTTTAAAACATTCTGGACTGGTTTTAGGAATTAAGAGTAATATTTTGATCTGTTTCTCAACCCAAATGGATTGAATTTTGCTTTAAAAGACATAGCTTTGTGTGTGTGTCTTCCAATGAACAAAAGAAACCATATGAATTTGAGACAAAGGAGGTAAACTTTTTTTTTGTTAAACTATCCCTTTAAGTTAAAGTGATTGTCATGTAATTAACTTCTTTGGAATAAATGTTTTTTGGGATTAACTCACTTTTTAAAGTTTTTGACTTATTGTTGTTAAATTTGCATAAATATTTCTCAGTACCAATGTCCTTTAGCTTTCGTTTGTTCTCTCAACTTTTGATATTTAAGTTCTATAAGCATTTTTAATTAGCACAACAAAGATTAGTTATTGAACTTCTGCACCTCTAGAAAACAGTCTTAAATTGATTTAACTAAACATTTTTTATATCACTGACAGTTTTTTTTAAGTCAGTAGTTCAAATGTTGAGTAAACACAAAAGAAATAAAAAATGAAAGAAATTTGGCATTGTAGCTTCTTTGTTGTTGTTCTGGCTAAATTACTTTTTACAGTTTGTGCAAAAAAAAATGTTTTTTTAATCTGAGAAAGAATCAGAATTAAGCACTAATTCTCTCAGTCGGTGTGAACATAACCTACGTGGCACAATTAAATTGAAAAGATCAGATTTCATGCAGTTTGTGCTGTTTACTGTCATGACGAAAAACCACACAGACTCATTGTGAAAAATGAAAACATACCCCTGTAAACATTTTTGTAGAGCGTTAATTATGTAGCCAGAGCTATACGGATGACTGCATTTTATCTTTAGAACAAACACTACAGGCTGTGTGACGCTGCTGACAACTTCTGTTTCTTTTTCGTGTTACAAGTTTACCTCTGTAAGAACGGCTTTTCCGATGTTACCAGTTTGCCTATAGTGGCTCTGTGTATGTCGGCAGACTTGAGACGTAGAGAGGAGTTGACCATGACAATGGGTTTCAAGTCTGTCAAAGAACTGTTTAAGAAAGCAGGTAAAACTAAATAAAATTAAATAAACAAGTAAATTACAGCGTGAGATTGTGGTAAGATCTGAAAATGTGGCAAAAATCTGGCCGCCATGAAGGCTTTTTTTTTCAGGATTGCTATTAAAAACACTGTCGGTTGGGTGTTGGAAAGGAGCTGGGCGGGCCAATTTGTGCTTTTGAAAACACTATTGGTTGGGTTTAGGGAAGGGGGTGGGAGCTGGCCAAACAGTGCTTTTAAAAACACTATTGGTTGGGTTAAGGGAAGGGAGTGGGAGAGGACATTGATTGGTCAGTCAGTCAACTGCGGCCTCTGGTGGACTTATATGAGAAGAGCAGGCATTAATGGCAATCGCAAGACAAATTTGAGATTTGAAAATGAAATACACAGCTGCTTCTGGCGGATTTGGGAAAGCAAAAACTGCAATTAACGTATCTCTTGGGACGTATTTTGCAATCTCCAGAAATAAATACTGGGGTGAGTATCCATAATGAAACTGGATTGCAAAAAACATGTCACATTTGGGCAAAAAAAATAATTATTTAAATCTTATTTTTGCCCTTATTTGTCTGCATTGTGAACGTAGCCTAACTTGCAGACTAATATCACTTCTTAAAAAAGTCACCACAAACATGTTTTTCCTTGTACTTCCCTGCAGCTGAGGAGGGGTTTATTATTTATCAGTGTTGCATGACACCACACAATAAAGATTCTGTGGGAAATACCATCCGAGTCATCAAATACCACACACAAAGACACTTCAGGTGTGGCGTCAAGCATAATTTCCTCTACTCTCCCCATTAGTGGAGGATGACGTCCTCAATGATGAACTCAGAGCAGTTTTGTGGCTGTCTTGTGTAATGATAGAGCTGGAACGGAGCTCCTCGCACAATTACACCACAAAAAAACGAGAATATAACCTGGAGCGTCAGCATCACTCACAGTCTAAAAATAGCAGATTGCTTTTAGTGATGTAATGAGGTCATCTTTGGTGTGTTTTGAGCCGTTTCAGAGAAAACAAGCCTCAGTGAAGAATTTATGTCTGCTAGCTCAATAAAACGGTCTGCATGCTTTGCTGTTCTTGTAAATAATACCATTAATCACTAGTAGTACTCAAAAAGTGGAGTTAAGGATTTAAATAATATCCTGGTGCTGAGTTTTCAGCAAATTCAGCATGACTTGTTTGTGTTACAAATTTAAATTGAGCCAAAAGGAATGAGTTTTACATATAGACATCATTAAATGGGTGACATGGTGGCTCAGTGATTAGCACTGTCACCTCACAACAAGAAAGTTGCTGGTTTGAGTCCTGACTGGGTCAGTTGGCATTCAAAAAAAAAAAAAAAGATTTTACTTTATTTTATTTTATTTTATTTTATTTTATTTTATTGAACATACAATAAAGAAGAAGCCATTGACTTCCATAGCAATAAAAGAAAATCAAGTTGAATTTCTTCAAAATTTTATCAGAATCAAATAGAAAACGTGAAGTAGAAACATTTATACAGTGTATCTTTGTATTTTATACAATATGTATTGTTATTAGTAGATGGGAACTGTGGTTCATTATTCTTTTTCAAGATTTATGTGTAATCTTTAGTAGCATTAAACATGTTTTTAATGTCACTTTTGATTCATTTAATGCATTGACTTGCTGAGCAAATGTATTTTAAAACATACAAGTATTAAATCATTATCAGTTTGATTTAATCTTATTGAAATATAACTCTGTTAAGTTTAAATGAATATATGTGTATTTGCTTTGTTAAAAAAAGAAAGAAAAATAAAGTTCTGTACTGCATTTTGCATCTGCTTATGTATAATGAAATCATATTTTTCTCTGCAGTGATCAAGTGTTCAGAATAATCCCCAGCAGTAAACCAGAGGTTCAAGCAGTCAAACAGCTTTTCCAAAACTTGACAGTGAGTCCCTTATTTTCTACAATACTCATATAATACCAAAAACATAAAAAAAAACATCATAAAAAACGTATGTCATTGAAAACTTTTCTCCTGCAAAAGTGATAATATTTCTTCCACAGTGAGTAAACTATTTTTAGTTTATCACAGTGCATCAGCCCTTAACTTTTTGTGTGTGTGCAATCACTCTGTCATTCTCAGCACCAATGATGCATGAACATACTTTTCAGAAACACCAGCAAATACAAGCAGTATATATACAGTGCTAGGATACAGTGGGGAAAATAAGTATTGAACACATCATGTTTTTTTTTTTGTTTTTTTTCCTGGGAATAATATTTCTCAAGGACCTGTTAACGTGAGATTGAACCAGATTTTAGTGAAAATACATAAAAAATAAAAAGACATAAAAATAAAATAAAAAACAAGAAAATTTAGTAATTTGTATTTACAATGAAATGACAGAAGTAGAAAATACTGAACTACTGAAATGTATTTAATATTAAAGGCTTTTTTGGTGACCTTAAAGACCCCTCTCATATGGCGAATGAAGTCTAATATTAATAGAGTGTCTATCTAATCTGATCTTAACTTTACATTTTCTGTTGAATTTAGGTCAGGTGATTGGCTGGGCCATTCTACAGCTTGATTTTCTTTCTCTGAAAGCATTTGAGCAGGGATGCCCAAACTCGGTCCAGGAAGGCCAGTGTCCTGCAAATTGTAGTTCTAACCCCAATCAAACACACCTGGGCTAGCTATTCAAGCTCATACTAGGCTTACAAGAAATATCCATGCAGGTATGTTGAGGCAAGTTGGAGCTTAAATCTGCAGGACACTGACACCCCTGCATTTAAGTGCTTCCTTGGCTGTGTTTTGAATCATTGTCTTGCTGAAATGTCCACCCTGGTTTCATCATCATTATCCTGATAATCCAGATGTTGGACTAAAGCAGCTGATATAAATTTTCAATGGCGAAGGGCATAGGGTTGCTGAATAATGCTGAGAGGTTTCAGCTGCTGTCTGGGCTTTCACTGCCTTTCTACACCTCCCTTTCTTCATGTGTTCAATACTTTTTTCCTTTGTCATTTCATTTTAATACATATAACTTGTAAACTAGATTAGTTTTCTTTACATGTATCGATTTCCCTGGTTGCTACCAACATCTGGGGAAAATTTCAAGTCAATGGCACCTTTAGAAATATGTTTTCTGAGAAATATGGTGACATTTAATACATATTTTCCCTGCTGTATATGAATTCACCTCTTTTGAAAATTAAGATTTTAAAGGATTTCTCTTTGTACTAAATTTTGGACTGGACTTTTTTTTTTAGATTATTTCCAGCTTTGCTCTCACTGACTAAATAAATGTAATAAGTTTACACAACTATATTAGAAAACTAATCTAACACAAATATATTATTGTATAGCATCCTTAAAATATTAAAATATTTATTTAAAATTGAGATCTTTGACGGGTACTCATTTATGCTAAGCAATATATATATATATATATATATATATATATATATATGTGTGTGTGTGTGTGTGATATGGCTTTATATCGGCTCTGGTGGGAGGCATGTGTTGGCACAAGGCCATAAGCAGAGTGCCTTAGTGTCCCACCAGTGACAATACACAATCACATCGCACTGCTACGAATGTGATATTGTGTTTATACAACAGTTCGACAACAACATTGTGTATATAAAATAAAAATCAAACACGGAGAGTCTAAACATTTTTGTATAAGGAACTACTTTCTTCCTCCATTCCTTCACATCTGCAGCTGACGTCAGAACAGCAGCAACCGTTGCTAATTCACAAACGTCACTTTAGAGCTAGTATTTAAATGATTATCTAACGTAATGTCTAAAGAGATGGAAAAACAGGTGATTTTGCTGACATTTTAAGATTATAAGGCTGAACTGCTCTGAAATTAAAAATATTTAAAATAGGCACTATCCTTATAAATAAACTGCATAGTTGCTATCTAAACAACTGCAATCTCGCCTATGTTGTCCAACAGCTGCAATATTTGTCAAACTGTAGTCATTTTATTGATCTGCTGTCACTGTATGTGGGTGGAGTAATACAGAAGGGTAAGGAGGCTGTACGAGTGCTGTTACTGAATATCGCTAACTATCAGCCAATCAGATTCGAAAACCAGACAGAAAACACTTTTAAAATCCTTAAAATACAATTGTAGTCTTTCATAATGGGGACATATGACCACCAGATCCTGCATTCTCAGAATTCAAATGCCCATCATTTATATTCAACATATTCATGCATATCTTTGCAAGCAGGTCTCTTGGCTTGTTTTGATAATTTTTCCATAATTCATAAATTTTCCCCTCACATTTACTAAAGTGTTGCTGACAGTCATCACTAGCATGCCAAATGGTTGTATAGATAAATGTTTTCTTTTTTAAAACACCTCTCTTTTTACCACACGCTTTTCTAGATGATATGCTCATCATTTCAGTCTCATGCTTTCACTGTGCATGCAAAATCTGTTTCAAGAACATACCAGTCACACACCATCAAAACAAACGTGTCAAATGTGTTTCAGCTGCCAGGTTTGTGAGCATCTGTTAGGAATGCAGCACAGATCAGAGGAGTTTTTCCTGCATGCACAAAAACAGCTCTGTAACTGCGCTTTTGAGTTGACTTAGTTCTTAGATGAATAGAAAGCTCAAACAAACACCGTTTTAAAGTGTTAATGTTAAAAAAAACTCTCTGTTCTAACTTGTAATATATAATATATATTACAAGTAATATATATATATATATATATATATATATATATATATATATATATATATATATAGTGGCGTAGTGGGTAGCACGTTCGCCTCACAGCAAGAAGGCCGCTGGTTCGATCCTCGGCTCAGCTCAGTTGGCGTTTCTGTGTGGAGTTTGCATGTTCTCCCTGCGTTCGCGTGGGTTTCCTCCGGGTACTCCGGTTTCCCCCACAGTCCAAAGACATGCGGTACAGGTGAATTGGGTAGGCTAAATTGTCCGTAGTGTGTGTGTGTGGATGTTTCCCAGAGATGGGTTGCGGCTGGAAGGGCATCCGCTCTGTAAAAAACTTGCTGGATAAATTGGCGGTTCATTCTGCTGTGGCGACCCCAGATTAATAAAGGGACTAAGAAATGAATGAATATATATATATATATATATATATATATATATATATGTATATATATACATATATTATAATGTCTTAATATTATATATACAACAATTAAAATATGTATTTTAATGTAAATTAACTGCAATGTCTACTGCATGCTTCGATAATAGCAGATAATAAATACCAAACTAGCAGTTATCTGGTGTTAAATGGTCCTGTTGTTGTAGCCAAAGTCAACAGTCTAGTGACTTGGCAGCCGCACAGAGGAGCATGATGATGCACATCTGAGCTTTTGCTTCAGGGACTGGTATCTGGGCTCCAGCATATGTTGGCAATCTAAAGTGCTTTTGTGGATCCGCACACACAGAAATGGATTCATTCGCTCAAACGCTGAAGCTTTGTTTCAGACTTTCTGTGTAAATGAGCTGAATCAGCCAGTCTCTGATCTACAGATCGTACAGCACATGGGAAAAGCTTTATCACCGATCTCCACTCCAGTTCAGTGATCTATCGTCGTGTGATAAACTGCTTGAAATTGTCAAGGACCCGATTTCTTCCCAAAGAGTGGTTCCTCTGTTCATTTTTTCATGGTTTTGGGTTTGATTTGTCTCACAGGCATGTTAACCATGAACAAATGTATTTGTTTGTAGTTAAAAGGGACATCTAATGTTATGAATGTTCTCTTATGTTCACTTTGAAATTATACATATGGAATATGTGTGGAATAAGTGACAATGTAAATGAAACTGGTTATTCTTGCAGTTTATTACACGGCTGTCTAGAATACTTAATTCTGATTGGTAAATCATGAAATTACATGTTATTCTGAGATAACAACCACTGAATCTAATAATACAGGCTCACCTGGCTACTTTAAATCATCTTAGCAATGTTTGGGACCATCTTGTGTCTGAATAATACATAGGTTAGTGTACGCTCCATTTAGCCATTTTCATCTCTCTCAGCTTTGCGTTTAATTAAAAAGCAGGATAAAGTTCAGCCACGTGGTTGTTTTCAAAGAATAAAGCCATTTAGTCTAATTAACAGTCCTCCATTAATTGTCTGGCTACTAAAGATCCTGTCTGGCTTTATTCTGTGAGAACAATTAATTCTTTACATAAAGTTGAACTGGCTTATCAATAGCCTACAATGTCAGTTTCTATTATCAGTTTTATACACTAAACTACTGATTATTCAGTTGCAAGATGGTGCCAAACAGGTCAAAAACAGCAGCGTGAAAGATAATCATTTACATATGAATATAAGTATACTCACTAATGCTCAAGATGACTTTAAATGCTCTGATGAACATGTGTTATTAATTTTAGCAATTGTTATCTGGGAATAACAGTTGAAGTCAGAATTATTAGCCCCCCGTGAATTATTAGCTCCATTTATTTTTCCCCCAATTTCTGTTTTAAGATTTTTTAAACTCATTTCTAAACATAATAGTTTTAATAACTCCTCTCTGATAACTGATTTATTTTATCTTTGTCATGATGATAGTAATAAATAAAAATATTTTACTAGATATTGTTCAAGACACCTCTATACAGCTTAAAGTGACATTTAAAGGCATTAATTAGGTTAACTAGGCAGATTAAGGTAATTAGGCAAATTATTGTTTAACGATGGTTTGTTCTATAGACTATCGAAAAAAGTAGCTTAAACGGGCTAATACTTTTGTCCTTAAAATGGTGTTTAAAAAATAATAACTGTTTATATTCTAGTCGAATTAATACAAATATGATTTTCTCTAAAATAAAAAATATTATAAGACATACTGTGAAAAATTTATTGCTCTTTTAAACATCATTTGGGATATATATAAAAAAGAAAAAAAAATTGGAATGTTGTGATTGACCAACCAAAATCAATTTAAAGAGCCATTGAATAAACTGGGAATAACATACCTTGAAATGTCAGGATTGATTGATCAGAATAAAGCATTCAAGAAAGTTGTTTAATAATAACATACATTGGAATTTCATGATTGATTAATCGGAATCAAGTATTCCAGTGAGCCATGTAATAAAAACATTGGAATGTTGGGATTAACATAGCCTTGTAATAAACTGTAAATAACATATCTTAGAATGTCAGGATTGACCAATCAAAATGATGTTTTTCGGAAAGAGCCATGTAGTAAAAAACATTCGACTGTTGGGATTAACCAATGAAAATCGTCTATTGTAGAGAGTAATATATTAGAAAATTTCATGATTGACTTATCAGAATCAAGTATTTCAGAGAGTCATAAACTTGGAACAACATACCTTGGAATGTCAGGATTAAGGTAGGAGTGTGGTTTTCTTTACCCACCGAATTGATTGACAGGCACATTTTACCATGTCTCAATAGTAACGTTTATACACAATATGTACTGCAAACTTTGTAATGGCAATTGTGTGTGACTCATCATTTCAGAAAGGCTTGAATAATCTCCACCACAAATACATCAAATAACATTACTTGGTATTTTTGACTAATAAACTATCTCTGCTTCATCCATGTCTGTCCATGTCTGTTTGCATTTAAGGGCACAGGCTACATAAACAGCTACACTTTCCTTTGACCCCAAAATGGGCATTTTTATCATTCTATAATAAATAACCTGATGGGTATTTTCAGCTGAAACTTTATAGACACATTCTGGAGACACCAAAGTGAAAAAATGGGGATAAAATAGGAACCCTTTAAGCATTAATTAATATGAATATTGTAAAGTGTTACCAAATTAGTATCACATTTGTGATTATGCTCACATGTTGATATTTGCAAAAACCTCACTCTTGCTTGTTTCGCAGAACTACAAAATTATTTATTAATTGTTTAATTTTTTTTTTTGCTTTCATAACTTTAATAATAGGGTAATTCTAATTTTGATTTTAATATGATTCACCACACAGTCAATGTATTTGCACATTTAAAATCAGTTTTTGTTTTATTTAGTTTTTGTTTTTTGTAAGTTTGAGTTACATACTCTATAAAGTTAGGTCAAACATCACAACAACAATGCAATACATATTACACAGCCCGTATACTTGCCACCATATCCTTAAAATTTCATTCAAATTTTCAGCACTTAGTGTGTGATAAGAAACATGAAAAAACATTGTAATTTAATACCAAATACTGTCAGAAAAAAACTTCATTTTTTTATTCATTTCATTTGAATATAAGCAAATGAAAGCTAACTCTGTGGTGTTTGAGAAATATATTTCCATGAAAGAAAGGTTTGGAAAGCATGAGGGTGAGTAAATGATGACAGAAGTTTCATTTAAGCTCCAAAGAACAACATGCTTGATTGACCTCAGTGGTGTTATGCAGGTGGACCTTTGGCAGCCCAACAGTGCATCTTTGATTCGAGAAAACAGCTCAATCGACGTTCATGTGAGACGGGACAAGACGCATTGGCTGAGAAATCATCTTCACCAAGAACACATCTACTACGAGTGAGTCTCTTTTTCCACTGTTATAAGACTCCTGTGGGATAAATATCGGATTTTGTCAGGTCGATGCGGATCCATTACTATGCAGTCCGTGTGTCCTTCACTGGGCCTTTTTCTCTTGATGAAAGATGTCTGTTTCTTACTAATTTTGCTAGCTTGTGGGTAAAATTTGAGCACTTAAATGACCGAAATGTAACCAGGATAATATGGTCATTTTTCAAAATAAGGGTTTTTCAAAATAAAAGATCGTTCAGACTAAATAAAAATGGAAAACAGAAATAATTAATGATTTCTTGTGCGACCCGGTACCAATTAATCTACAGACAGGTACAGGTCCTTAGCCCGAGGGGTTGGGGACCACTGGTCTAGGTGATCATGGGTCTAGGGATGTGCAAGAATGGCATATATCTGAAACACAACAAAACATATTTAAGTAAGATATATCAGATTCGCAAAAATGAACAAAGAGCCCTCTAGTGATTTTATCATCTGAAACGTTTAGCAAAATACCCATACCAATTTATTTTGACATTTTGCAGGGGCGGGGGGTACATGCACTGAATAAAATGCTGGGTCACAAATTATGGAGCCAGAAGAACGTACGGCTGCATTTTGTCTTTTAAAAATGAATGCTACGGGGTGGTATGATGCTGTTCAGAAAGCAGGTAAGACAAAAAGATAAGCCAAAAATGAAAATAAACAAGTAAATAGAGGGGTGAGAATTCGGTAAAATCTGATAATGTGGTAAAAATCAGATGATAGCTTTTCTTTTTCTGGATTGATTTTTAAAACTCTAGGTTTGGTTTTAGGAAAGTGGGTGGGCAGGTCAATCGGGACCTTTGAAAACATTATTGATAGGTTTAGGGAAGAAGGAGGGTGGGTCAGTCAATCAATCAGTTATTCAGTCAGTCAGTCGACAGCGGCACTCTTGAAAGAAATTTTAGACCTCAAAACGTGTACATAGCAGCCTTTGGTGAATTCACAAAAACAAAAACTGCAAAAAAACGTAGCTCCTGGGATGTATTTTGGCGCTCTCCAGAAATGTATATAGGGGTATTTAATCAGAATGAGCCTGGGTTGACAACATTATATCGAACATTCTTTAAACACGTGTTATTGTTTTATCAAGAGATGTTATAGTATATTGTCAGATAGTTATCATTATCGATTTATTGCCCAGCCCTACTTGGATCCTTCTGACTTTGATTTGCATGTGTGGTAAGATTCAAAAACGAAATGATTCAGAGAACTCTTTTAACCACTCGCTCCATCAATCATCCACATCAAAAGCAACAATGAAGCTTATCTCGCGCACCACAGACAGAAACACACTCATTGTCATCCCTTTCCCCAGAGACGCGTTCTCCTTTATATCTCTTCTCCTTCTCATGCCTGATGCATTTGAGCAAATTTACAAGCAGAAGCGAGACCTCTAAGGATTCTGGGTAATGGGACACACACACAGAGAGAAATACCCATCTAGTGTATTTTGTTTACTCTAGTTTAAAAAGCACAAAGAAACATAGCCTTTGTATTTGACAGGTCATATAAACTGTGGCAGCCTCATTTTTTCCTTTATATTGTTCGCCAAAAATATCAAAACAAACTAAGATTTACTTTAAATTAGTTTGTTTTCTGTTAATTGTGCTCTGTTTGTGACAAGATTATTAGTAATGAGCGTATCTTTAAAACGTAGGGGCTTATCAACTGAAAACATTTAATAAGTTTTGGTCTTACATTTACATGACAGTAGCATTTTGGGGCCTAAAAATTAATTTTTTCAATCTGCAAGTGTAACATATTGCTAACAAAGGCAGTCAATTGCATGGCAGCTTTTCAAATAAACTTCTGTGCAAAAAAATTGTATACAAGTAAAAATACAGCATTACTTAATACAGGGTCGGAAAAAAATTTCAATTTACATTCAAAATGTTGAGTTGAGATTTGCTTTATTAACTTGCGACTGCTGCTGGTTTTGTTTGGGATTGTTCAGTATAACTTAAGTCATATATATAAATTAATTTAATTTAAATTAATTAATTATTCATTTAATTAAACATCTATATCATATATGAACAAAATTTACTGTCGTGTATAAGCGTGTGTATGAATGTTAGAGTTTACGGGTGTTTCCCAGTATTGGGTTGCAGCTGGAAAGGCATCCGCTGCATAAAACATATGCCGGAATAATTGGTGGTTCATTCCGCTGCGGTGACCTCTGATCAGAGACTATGCTATAGTAAAATGAATACATTATATGTATAATTACTCTAGTCAGTCACATAATATATGGGACAGTAACCGGTTTTAAGGTTTACCATTGTTTGGAAAAGTCAAGGTTATTTCAATCCTACAATATAAGTAAGTTTTCTGTTTGTTTGTTTGTTTGTTTGTTTTTTGCATGTTTTTCAACTTTTTACAACTACGTGTTTTATTTAGTTTTTTAGGGCAATGACATTTTTAGCAGAAAAAATGATCCTCCACATCAAAAGCTTTAATTATTTACCCTGACGTCTTTACTGTTCCTGAATATTTTAAATGTTTCTTAAAATAAAATATATTGTGTCAATGGGGGAAAATGTAATCTAATGTGTATTTATATAGCACATTTATTGTGTCTGGCCATACACCCAAAGTGCTTTACAATCATGAGGGGAGGTCTCTCCACACCACCATCATTGTGGAGCATTAACTTGGATGATTCGACGGCAGCCACAGGACAATGGCACCAGTGCTCTCACCACACACCAGTTAGTGATGGAAGCAATTCGGTGGATGGGGATGATTGGGAGGACATGATGACTAAGGGCAGATGGAGAAAAATTTGGCCAGGACACCAGGGTTAAACTCCGACTCTTTATGAGAAGTGCCATGGTATTTATAATGACCACAGTATCAGGACATCAGTTTAAGGTCTTATCTGAAAGACAGCGCACTCTGTCAGTACAGTGTCCCTTCACTATACTAAGGCATTAGTACTCACACAGACCACAGGTTGAGCGCCCCCTGCTGGCCTCACTATTATTCATTTGTGTTTTACCCATATATTTAAAACGAACATATTTTAGAGCAGTAATCACAATATTATGATACTGTAAACCCGGGATTCTTTCATCCAAGGTTATCATACCGTCAGAATCTTATACCGGTAAATGCCTATCACACAATGCTGCGGAATCATTCCAATATTCTGATTTGCTGTTCAAGAAAAGTTTATTGTATAAAACAGTACATTTTTCAATTTTTTTTTTTTTTTGATGAACAGAAAGTTTAGAAGAACATGTGTCTGAAATAGAAATATTTTGTGACTATAAATATCTTTTATTGTTATTTTGATCAGTTGAAACCATCCTTGCTAAGACGAAAACATTCATTTCTATTATTTCTTTTCCAAAAAATTAAATATAAAAACAAAACAATTATACTGACTTCAAGCTTTTAAATGGTATAGTGTACACTGTAAATAATGCAGGGTTCCACACAATTCATTTATGTTGTCCCAACACAAATTTAATTAATTTAAAGAGCACATAATATGGGTTTTTGAAAATGCCCTTTCATGTAGTGTATAACACAGCTCTAAGTGAAGTGAAATATCCAGCTAAGCTTAAATCTGTAAGTGTACAGTGTTTAAAACTGTTGATTCATCTATAAAAGAGTCGACTCATAGTGCTTCAAACGAGTCGTCTTGATAATGAGTCATTAGCTGTTTCGGCATGACGTATCCACGAAACACAAGTTGTTGCGCGCGCAAACCCATTAGATTTGAAACCTGCGGCCCCGCCCTCTAACACAGAAATAAAGCCACACACACACGCCGATCGAATTAAGTCATGCTGTGCAGATGGATATTATTGAGTATCTACCCAAAGATGAAACCTCAGCATTAGCCCAGCCTTGAGCAGTTTGAGTGCTTCTGGAAACTACATGCTACAAAGAAGACTTCATCAGCCGTTTGTTAAAGGAAGGATCAGTAAAAACTACTGATGGACTATGTCAGAACATGGATCAGTTTCTTCCTCTATTTCACAAGTGTAAGTACGTGCTATTAAAGTTGTTGTCTCATTTACTCTAGCTTGCAAATGTATTTAGTTGTGATTTGTTACTTGTAACCGCGTGTACTGTATCAGGTTAACTCGCTATATTATCACATCGCGTGTAAAGCCACGTTGAAAACGCGACGTGTGGCGCTTTGTTTACGGACCTCCGAGGAGGAGGGTAATGTGTGTGTGTGTGTTTGTTGTGTCCTCTGAGGAAGAGGGTAATGTGTGTGTGTTGTGTCCTCTGAGGAGGAGAGTAGTGTGTGTGTGTGTGTGTGTGTGTGTGTGTGTGTGTGTGTGTGTGTGTGTGTGTGTGTGTGTGTGTGTGTGTGTGTGAAAAGAGCAGGTAGAGTGTAACAAGCTAGGAGATCTCCTCGCCAGTTCCTGGAGATTTTGCACAATAAAATAGTTAGTCATCTGTATTTTCAAGTCCATCTTCTGTATTGTATTCACCCACTGGCAGCCAAAATCCACGCCTTACACTATGAAGCGTGTATGCACTGTGACTACTTTTATATTGTTGATTAGCTGCTGGGCATTTCACTCTGTCTCGCGCTGAAGGCAGTCAATGTCGACCAATCGCAGTAGGCTGTCATCGGTCCAATCAGCGCAGATTAGCTTCACGCTAAGGAGGAGTTTGGGAACAAATGAATAACTGAACGATATATATAGGAGTCGCTAGGATAATTAGGTAAAAATAAATGCAAATTATAAAATAATTAAAGTGTTTTTTGACCTTGCATGCATATTAGAATGTTGTTGGAGACCCTTACAACCAAAATATGACCCTATTTCATGTATAATAGAGGCTGTTTAACTTAACAAATTTAATTAGATTGAACATTCATTTATTCATTTTCCTTCGGATTAGTCTCTATTTCAGAGATTGCCACAGCGGAATGAACCACTAACCATTCCAGCATATGTTTTACGCAGTGGATGCCCTTCCAGCCACAACCCAATACTGGGAAACACCCATACATGCTCATTCACAAACACACTCATACACTATGGCCAATTTAGTTTATTAAATTCACCTATACAGCATGTCTTTGGACTGGAGCACCTGGAGGAAACCCCTGCGAACATGGGGAGAACATACAAACTCCACACAGAAATGCCAACTGGTCCAGCCAGGACTCAGACCAGCAAACTTCTTGCTGTGTGGTGACAGTGCTAACCACCGAGCCACCCTTGTGGATTGAACATAAAACATATAAGTTGTCTCAAAAAATCTCAATTGTGTTGTTTCGGCTCATTTTATTTTAAAGAAGTAGTTTGAACAAGCAGCAGGCGCACAACGTCATATGATGTTGATCTTTAGTTCTAATTTAGTTGTGACGTCAGGTGACAAAAATTTAACATCAATTTGCTGTCTAATACCGACGTCATCTGGTGTTGATATTTGGTTGGTTTTAGGCTCTGGCATTAACTAACTCAAATCCAACGTCATTTTAACATCATGATATGACATCAGTACAACGTCAAAGTCTAACATCAGTAGACGTTTATCTTCTTTGGTTTGTTTTATGTCGTCTAATTACCTAACTAGTTTAAAAGTCACTTTAATGACATAATGTGACGGCCATACAATGTAAAAAGCTAACATCATTAGCTTTTGATCTTTGGCTGATTTTAGGTTGTATCATGAAGTAACTAAAATTTATCTTGACGTTAAATTCAGATCTCAAACTGACTTTGTGAACATCAACTCCAATTTTCATATACAACCAAAATTCAAAGTTAGTCTGATGCTGGAGTCCAACGTCAATTTTACGTCTGTGTGGCGTCCGGTGCTTTCTGCATGGGATGTTACAAATGTTTTTTTCTTCACATAAATGCTCATCTTTGGATCTTTGCTCACACTCATACTCAAAACGACTCAATATACTGCTAATAAATAATAATAATAAATGAATAAATAATAATGAACATTTCAACAGCAAATCAACAACTTAGAATGTTTCTATAGGATTAGGATCATGTGACTGAAGTAATGATGGAAAAAAGTTAATTTCTTTTAACTATATTCAAATAGAAACCAGTTATTTTAAAAAGTAAAAATAGTTAAAAATATTACTGTTTTTGCTGTGCTTTGGATAAAAAAATGCAGGCTTTTTGAGCTAAAAAACTAAAATCATACTGTTCTAAAACTTTTGACTGGTGTGTTTTTAAATGCACAGCTATATGTTGTCCTTGTTTGTTCCTTCCTTAATCTCTGGTGTTAGATACAGAAATGAGCATCTGAGTAACCCTGAAATGGGCCATTAAACGCTAAGATACACAGCACACACATCTTTCAACATCGCTTCCCTGACAGCCCACTGTCTCCACAGGGTGCTCATTTCCAATCTCCAAACTGAAATTGAGAAACAGACGGGGTACCGGTCCTCTAGGAAGCGCAGATCTGAACTTCAGTATGACTATGAAGTGTACCATCCTTTAGAAGAGGTGAGCACATGGCTGACAAGTAACAAGCAGGCCATTTTTTATGTAGCTAGATCTATTTTTACTAACCAATGTTTCATTTTTGCCAGGTAACAAGCAGCTTTTGACTGAGAATCACATTTGCATTTAATTGTGCTTTTGTGAAAAGTCAATTAATTGAAAAAATTGTGACTCTCTTACATACAGTTGAAGTCAGAATTATTAGCCCCCCTTTGAATTTTTTTTTCTTTTTTGAATATTTCCCAAATGATGTTTAATAGAGCAAGGAGAGTTTCACTGATAATATTTTTTCTTCAGGAGGAAGTCTTATTTGTTATATTTCGGCTAGAATAAAAGCAGTTTTTAATTTTTTAAAAACCAATTTAAGGTCAATATTATTAAGCTATTTTTTTTTTTTTTTGCGATATTCTACAGAAAACAACATCGTTATACAATGACTTGCATAATTACCCTAACCTGCCTAGTTAACCTAGTTAAGCCTTTAAATGTCACTTTAAGCTGTATAGAAGTGTCTTGAAACATATCTAGTAAAATATTATTTACTGTCGCCATGGCAAAGATAAATTAAATCAGTTATTAGAAATGAGTTATTATAACTGTTATGTTTAGAAATGTGCTTCTCTCCGTAAAACAGAAATGGGGGGGGGGGGGAATAAACAAAAAGGGGGATGAATAATTCAGGGGGGCTAAAAAATCTGACCTTAACTGTATATTATAGCTTTAAAAATAGTTATAATGTTCTTAAGGATAAACTAAATGTAATCTAATGCTGTAAATTATAAAGGTCTTATTTATTGAGTCCAAACCATTAAATTCAAATATACATTTTTATATATAATGTAATGTATAATGTCAATAATTAAATATTTTATCCAGACATGCAATTTTTACACTACTATCTAAATCTGGTTATAAAACTTATACTAATCCAAGTCATTGTTGAAAAAAATCTAATTTACACAGTAGCTTAATGTTTTTAAATGACAAATTTAGTAAAATATTGATTTTTTCTTAGATTTTTATTTATTTATTATTATTAATATTCATTATTATTAATGTCTTCATTCATTGTCCTTCGGCTTAGTCCCTTATTTTTCAGGGGTATACACTATTCGGGCATAAGTTTTACGCAGTGATGCCCTTCCAGCTAGTACTGGGAAAAATATTATTCATATTTATTGAAATATACAATAAATAAAACATCACTGACTGGTTACTTACATATATTATACATTTTGGCTAATACAGGGAATTAAGTTAACAGTTTGTTTTTGAGTTTAATTAACTGAGTTAATAACCGTACATGCCATTTTCATCTATATTTTGTGCTTTAACTAGTAGATTCAAGCCATCTATACAGCTACTGTGTCTATACTTGGTTTGCCACAATCCAAAAAAATTAAATCACTATGAAGTTTATCATTAATTGTAACCTTTTGCTTTTAATTAATTTGTCAGTTATTTATTCCTTTTAATCAATATAAATCTTTTAAAATTGAAAACTATTAGATTATAGAAATATGAATATGGTATGAATATATCTAACAGCAGAAAAAGACAGATCCAATTAGTTCAATTCTATGAGATTGGTTTAATTAATATTCGGGGGCAAAAATGATACTCCACACAATAGATTAAATCCAATGTGTTTTTAATTAATATGAAGAATTTAAAACGCATTGGATTGATTGATATTATTACATAAATCTTGTTCTTATTTGTTTCATTTATATTTAGCTAACAAAAATCAATCAGATAAAGTTCAATTATGTTAAAGTATGTGTAATCCAAATGAATGGAAGTTTTACATGCAATCAGAATACATAAATCTTATTTGTTAGACCAAAATATTTTTAAGTGCACATTAAACAGCAATAAAACTGCATTTATTGTTTACATTTCCTGGTACGATTTAACAAAACACAACACAAAGCTTCTTCCAATTATTGGACAGTAAGACCCTGAAGAATTGCAAACTATTTAGAAACGAGTCCAAACAACAAATATTAAGCCCTTGCTTGCCAAATTAAAAGTGTATAAAACATAGTTTGACACTTTAATATTTGATTTTTCTGCAGAAAAGTTTTACGTGAATCCTTTCAATTTCAAAAAGAATTTCCCCCCAGATTCAGAGTTGGATGTTTGAGATGAACCGAACTCATTCCCACCTGGTTGATCTGTTTTCTATTGGTCAATCCTATGAAGGACGACCACTCTATGTGCTCCAGGTAAAGGCTAAAGGTCAAGATGGCTAACAGTGAGAAAAAAAAAAAGAAAAACGCACAAAAGATGGACTTGTTTTTTGTTTTTTGCCAGTTAGGAAAGAGAACACGTTTCTTTAAGAAGGCGGTGTGGATAGACTGTGGAGTACATGCAAGAGAATGGATCGGTCCAGCTTTCTGCCAGTGGTTTGTTAAAGAGGTACGTGCTGTGTTATTCTAGTCACTGTCATGCTGATTCGGGTGTTGTTATTGTCACACGGATTAACTATATGCTTTAATATCAGCAGCTAACACAGAGTGAAACAAATTTAGAATGAGATCCAAATCAAAAGAAATAAAATGTCTGTGTATAGTGTCTGTTGTAATATCTTCAGTCCACCACTATGAGGCAGACCTACAGCATAATATAGGCCTAAAACTTAGCTGACTGACCCTGACAAGTCACCCTCCTTTCGCTATGCTAGTTTGGACTTTAAATACAGTTGAAGTCAGAATTATTAGCCCCCCTTTGATTTTTTTTTTTCTTTCTTTTAAAAATATTTCCCAAATGATGTTTAACCGAGCAAAGAAATTTTCTCAGTATGTCTGATAATATATTTTTCTTCTGGAAAAAGTCTTATTTGTTTCATTTCGACTTGAATAAAACTAGTTTTTTATTTTTTAATAGCCATTATAAGGACAAAATTATTAGCCCTTTTGATATTTTTTTTTTTAGACTGTCTACAGAACAAACCATAGTTATACAAAAAATTGCCTAAATACCTAACCTGCCCAGTTAACCTAATTAACCTAGTTAAGCCTTTAAATGTCACTTTAAGCTGTATAGAAGTGTCTTGAAGAATATATAGTAAAATATTATTTACTGTCTTCATGGCAAAGATAAAATAAATCAGTTATTAGAGATAGTTTATTAAATGTGTTGAAAAAAAACTGCTCTCTGTTAAACAGAAAAGAAAACGGGGGGAAGTGGGGGGGACTAAACAGGGGGGATAATAATTCAGGAGGGATAATAATTCTGACTTTAACTGTATAGTAATGCTGCATATTTATTAAACCAATACAACATTATTTATATTTTAAGAAACCAAAGGGAGCTTGTAAGTACTGTATAGAGTTTACAGTACAGTTTACACACTGACATGGCAGCTGCTGTATAATTAAACAGCATATTAATAAACTATTATAGTACGTGCAGTGTTCAGATTTTACTCTAATGATCTTTTGCAATATATTCAAAAGTACTTTTGGGTGATTTTTTTTTTTTTTATGTTTTAGAAAATAATTCTTTAAATTGATTGTAATGTGAGGATCTGATTATCCAGAAACAGTTTATTTATTATTAATGTTGAAAATGAATTTTATTCATTAAAAATACAAAGGGAAATAAAAGTAAAATAAAAGTGTTAATTTCTTTAATTAATTTCTTTAAAAAATAAACAACTATTGACCAAATTTATGAACAATGTACATTTCCTAAATAGAATATAAATAGGATAATAGGAAACTGGAAGCTTTCTTTAATCAAATGTGAATTGTTGTTGAAATTATATGAAATTATATGATTACATGAGTTTTTTTTTTTTTTGTTATGGGATGCTAAAATGTATAGGCATGCAGTATAGCATTGATGTAGATTTTGCAAGCATTATTCCATAGTTGTGCTTGGAGAGTGTAAATGCTTTGTTTGTTCTCTTCTTTAAGAAATTACATTTGTGAGAGCACAACAAAATGCTTAGACCAATGCATACGAAAATGGCTCAGAAAAGAAAAATGTTATTTTAGTTTTTTTTTTTTCCGGCAGCTGGGGTTAATTACATAAATTTACCAGAAATTATCATTTTAGGAAGTTTCTGTAATTTAACGTCCTTTATTTTACAGTAAATTTCTGTAATTTAACAGCCATTATTTGAAATTTTTTATTTGCATAAAATAACAGATTTTTTACAGCGCTGTTAATCACTTATACTACAGGGAAAAGCTATTAAATAATTGTGAATAACATATTCTTGTCATTACATGTTTTCTTTCCTCTTTTTTTTCTATGTATTTTTTTTGAGTACACTAGGGTTACGCGATGTCGACCAATTTGGCATCGTACGTTGTTTAATGTGAAAAAGAATTGATCTGATATAAAGTGTGGACTGAACAGGTAGCGGAAAAGGGGATGCTGAACTATCCCCTTTGAGAAGAGAGTTGCCTCAATTGTGGGCAACACTTAACTGTCTGGAGTAGTATCCGTGTTTGTGGGAGACACAGATTTATTAGAGGAACACTTTGTTAGGGCGGTTTAGCAGCACCCCTCCGCTCTTATCAAGGCAGCGAGCGCGAGAATGGGCATCATTGTATTTCCACTCTTAGTCAGATTATGGGTTGTTGAGGGGGGTTAACAGCCACGTCTTTAATGGATAACCGCGTTCTCCTGATATGCAGTTAAATAATTAAGCTCAATAAAAAAAATAATAAAATAAAAAAGCTGGAATAATATCTTTAAATACATCACTCACCAAGAAGCCACCCATCGCCCACCCTTCCAGCTTGGAGCCTTCGGATTTGACCATTGACCATGTCCTCTAATAAGGCCACACTGCCATTGCCATAGACTAACGGTTGTAGAAATTTGCAAATGCTTTTATATGTTCTAAATCACATATTTGGTAAAATTATATATATATATATATATATATATATATATATATATATATATATATATATATATATATATATATATATATATATATATATATATATAGTGTCAATTAACCCATTTTATTAATTATAAATTAATAGCAATGTTTTTTACATGTGTTAGTGCGATACTTTGTAGTGTGCATTTTAATATAATTGTCTCTAGGAGTCACCTATGGAAATAAAACAAACACAAACAAGAAATAGAAGTGCACCAGACATGAAGTTGGCGTGGACCAACGCACATTCTCTCGTTAATTTCATTGTTAGTAAATCCAGTCGTGAGCATGAAAGCTGGCGTACGCACAGTTTTTGAGCGTATGCAGCATTGATAAATGAGGCCCCTGGTCCGGCTTAAACACTTTTAGCTTAGCTTAGCTTAACTTAGCATAAATAATTGAATTGGATTAGACCATTAGCATCTCGCTCAAACAAATACAATTTTTTTTATACTTTTCAACTTCAGGTGACTTGTAAAATGAGACTATTTCCGAACAAGTATTCCTTTAATTTCAGTACACAATCATTTCAATATTATTGCATACCTGCCAACATTTGTCTCTGAAAATCCAGGACAGGGTTTTTTTTTTTTATTCTTGGAAGCTCTAGAAACTAAAAAAAATGTAAAACAGGAAATGCTTTGTGATCATTGTTTTTGTTTACATCCCTCAAAATTGTCTATTGAAAAAAAGGCTATTTATATATTGCTAAGTCTTTAGCTCTATTTAAGTTTATCTGTGGTGAAAACGAGAGACATTTCTTGCATCTCTTGAAGCCTGTTGTGACTCGATCCACTAGGCACTGAACTCCTATCAACACGACTCCAGCATGAGACGACTGATGAATCAGCTCAATTTCTACATTATGCCTGTCTTCAACGTGGATGGTTACCATTACAGCTGGAAGATGGTAATGTGTTGCTCTCAATGTCTCTTCAGTAAAGTGTGCTGAGCTCACTAAAATGAACTGTCGGCAGTTATGTGCTGTTAAATATGCAGCGTGTCTTGCTATTCTGTGAGATATATGGCAGCCAGACATATTGTAAAGAAATAGCTGAGGTTTTTCTCTCTCTTAGGATCGCTTTTGGCGGAAAACTCGGTCAAAGATACCAAAGTATCATTGTCGAGGAGTGGATGCCAATCGAAATTGGAAAGTCAAATGGTGTGGTAGGTTGTTGAAGCTTGTATGTGGAAGAAATAGACTTCCTCCTTCAAATTAAACAGCACTATTGTTCATATAGGAAATAAACTGTCATTCTAGAGTATGTAGACCTTAGTTCTTACAGTTTTTTTAGCACAGCGTTTCCCAACTCTGTTTCTGGAGGCACACCAACAGTACATATTTTGGATGTCTCCCTTATCTCTTCTTATGTTCTGATGAGTTGATTCAGGCATGTTTGATTAGGGCAACACAGGCTCATTCTGAAAACGTAGCCCTATAGTATATACGTACATTTCTGGAAATTGCGAATTATATAGCCAGAGCTACACATGACTGCATTTTATCTTTATAACAACTGCTGTGGGGTGGTATGACGCTGTTTCTTTTCGTGCTTAGAACTGAAGAACTGTTCCAGAAAGCAGATAAAACAAAAACAAAAGCTAAAAAATAAAATTAACAAGTGAACAGGGTGAGAATGTGGTAACATCTGAAAACATGGTAAAAATCAGGCGATGGCTTTTCTTTTTCTGGATTGCTTTTAAAAACACTATTGGTTGGGTTTAGGGATAGGGGAGGGTGGGGAGATCGGTCAGTTGGTCAGTCAGTAAATCAATTTGTCGACAGCGGCCTCAGGTGAATTACGTGAGAACAGCAGGCACGAATGATACTCGTGATAGAAATTTGAGATCTCAAAAAACGTACACTGTTGGTACCGTGTAAAGAAAGGGGATCGGTAAAATGAGATGCCGGATTAGAATTCAGAGGTGTTGGATGCAGATATGATAATACTAACAATGAGTTTTAAATATTCTTTAATTTATCTAAGAATATATATTAAAGACCACTTCTGAAAGGATATATGGTAAAAAAAAAAAAGCTAAATTTTGAATGGCGTGATTATTATTTGTGACATTTCTATATTTATTTATAAGGTACTTTATTAATAATATTTTGTAATTTGTTCAGTCATAATTTTGTATCATTTAAAGAATTTAAATTTAGTCAAAGTTTTGTGGTATATTCATTAGTTTGGCAATTTTTTCCTATTTAATTGGACCAATATATATATATATATATATATATATATATATATATATATATATATATATATATATATATATATATACACTAAAACTATAAATACTAAATAGAACTAAACATTATAACATCTCATGTCAAAAAAAACTTTTTAACTGGTCTTCCAGCACCAAACCAGTACTAACCAGCAGTATAGGTTTGCTTATTTAAAGAACAAATGTTTTTTTAAGGCAGACTTAGAGCTCCATGCATTTTATTTTTCTCAAAAATGACATTTTTAGTTCTTATTTTCTTCTGAAGGACACACTAATGATGCCCACTCAAAGATGTTTCCCCTAATCTTACCTGACAACAAGATAGAAAAAGCAAGAAGCAGAAGGATCATGAGTCAGCAAAAATCCCACAGGAAGAAAAATAATAGTTATCTTCTGTTAACTGACAATGTAGGCCAGAATAGGCAAAAAGTCGGCAATTTTTTTATCATGTCTGCTGTCTTTGTTTTCTCTGATAGATGAGGGTGCATCCCTACACCCCTGTGATGACACGTACTGCGGACCGTTCCCCGAGTCGGAGCCAGAGGTCAAAGCTGTTGCCAAATTTCTTCGTAAACACAAGAAACGGGTGAAGGCCTACATCTCAATGCATGCCTACGCTCAGATGCTCCTCTATCCATATTCCTACAAATACGCCACTATACCAAACTTCAACTGTGTGGTGAGAAAAAAATTAATTGACATTTTTGATTACATCTTATTTTGTCCTTTGAAATGAATGAATGCAGTTTTGCACAATTCAGTGTGATGAGATTAAGATAATGCCTGCTAAAATAACATCAAGAAAACTCTACTTTCTATTCAATAACTTCTATTTGCAAAAACAATATGACAGTGGGATCATGTTCAGTTCATAATCAGATTATTTAAACGGAACCTATGATGCAAAATCAACATTGTGTACTGAATGTTATAGTTTGTCCACTGTCACATTGGAGTGATGTAAACAAAGTCTCTTTTTTACCTAACGTTAAATTAGGATCCAAATCCCACTCATTTTGAGGCCCATCACAACGTGGCGTAGGAATGTGTTTTTTTTCCACCCACCGAATTGATTGACTGGAGCGTATTAACATGTCTTCATAGTAAGGCGTATAAACATGTCCACAGAACAGGATTTGTAAATAAACCTGGTTAAAAGATCTGTTCCAACTCTCTGTGATCAGCTGCACCTCAAGAATGTGTTTTGCAAGTTTTAAACAAGTTTAAGATGCATGTTTGTGATAAATAAAAGACAGTGAAGTCACTATGTAATTCATAACCACTGAAATGGTACCCTTTTGGTGGATGTGGTGTACGAAAGAAAGTTCAGTCAACGTAATTTTCGTTCGAGGAAATGTCAAAGTAAAGTTGTTCGGGTCGTTCACATATCATATGAGAAGCACTTCTCACAAAACATGCTTTATACACATAAATACTTGTTTATAAATGTTCATTACTAACCTTTCTATAAACATAATTTGATTATAACTACAGATCAATGTTAGTTCGAAATAGCCCACTGCAACATCTGCAATTATATAAAATAAATAAATAAATGCAACATATATGAATACATCCAGACCCTTACACACTCCGATATGTTACCAATTACAGAAAAACTACACACAGCATACATTTAGTCCTTATTTGGGTTTAAAAACAACACGCAACATTTAGCTCACAGTCTGTGCAAACCTCTCATCTGTGTCTTTAATCTTCACCAGCACATGTAACCTCTTGTTAGAAAGTAATTCCAGCATTCCGAGTACATAATAGACCAAAAGGTGATGATAATAGTTAAACCTGGAAGTTTGTTCAATTTAAGGTTGCTGAAAGAATCATTTGCTCCTTTGTTTTTTTCCGGCTTCTCCTTTTTTCGTGCTTCACCCTCACGTCTGTCCATATCTAAAAGTATCAGATGTTAGAAGCATTTCAATAATCATGGGCACATTATTATCATCAGCTCAAGAAGTTTGTTATATATTAGATAGCCTTGTAAACAACTACAGAGTTCTGGTTTGTAGATGTTAAAAGTGGTTTATTTTGTCAAGTAGCATAGTGGGTATCCGTACAGGTATTATACAGTTATCTATACCATATTATATAAAATCCTGTGTGTATTATATATAACTTATATCCTGTCACATATGCTGCAAGTAGATGTGCAAAAACAGTGCAAAGTTAGACGTGTGTGTGTTTACTGCAAACTTTGAAATGTCATTTCTGTGCGACTCATCGTTGCAGAAAGGCTTGATCAAACTCCACAACATGGTATTTTGACTCCGAAACAGTATCTCTGCTTTATTTGTGTCTGTCTCTGTCACTGACTGCTCTTTATCTGACATGATGCAGCATAGAAACAGACACACATGTGGGAACAGTGGGCGGGAGAACCAGCTCATTTGCATTTAAAGGCACAGCCAAAAAAAGCTATAATAGCTATAATAGAATATTACTCCAAACTCCAAAACTCACATATTCAGCAGGGTATAACAAATGATTGGACATGTATTTTAAGCTGAAACTGTACAGATGCATTCTGGAGATATCTTGTAAATGGGGTAAAACAGTAGCCCTTTGAAACATATAGTGAAACCAGGTCTGATTTATAAACATACTCATTACTTTTATGAACCAGTTTGATTAATGAAATGTAAAAAAAAAAAACATAACAAATAAACAAAAATAAAAATAAATAAATAAATAAATAAACAAATAAATAAAATTCATACCAAGTCACATGCTTTAAAGAAAAAATTACACTTTAAAGGTCATGTTTATGATTCTCAATGGTCAAAAACACAATGAATACAATAATCTTTTTTGTCATTAAATACTATATTTGGTTTAAATAATAAATATTTATCAAATTTATGTTTAGATATTTAAAGGTATTAAACAATATTCACCTCTAAATTATACAAATTTATGACTTTATAAAATAATGCAAATGTTAGGATGAAAGTGTAGTTTTTGATATCTAATGTCAATATCTAATGCACAAAAGGCAAATTGGTGGAAAAGTAAGAAAAATAATGGGTAAATAATTTACTATATGATTAATAATCAAATATTAATTAGGTTTTATTTTATTAGGTTGTGCATTTTGATGTATATGTATTTAGACATTATAAAAAAGCACTAAATCATGGCCATTTTGTATAATGTTTCTCTCCAAAGCATTGCTAAGCATTACAAAACTCTTTAGTCTGAAATGATGGAAGGCTAAAGGGTTAAGTCATATCAGCCTCTACACAGGTCAATTTTTTACTATATATTTATCTCCATACATCTGTGTATTAGATTCTGTAGTAAACACTGCAAGTTACAATTCGCACCCTGGAGTTTGCTAAAGTGATTCAGCCTAACAAAATGTAACACTGCATTATCTACCAAAGGGCAAAACATTAAACTCCTCATTAAGAATATACTGAGTACATAAAAAACTGATAGGCCTCAGTGCAGTTTGCCCATATACACCGACTACATGGATGGCTATAAAAAGCCCACACAATCTTTTAACTACAGTTATCACCAAGCCAATCCTTAATGGCGGAATGGACCAGTGCTTAAAAAACCTCTGCTTTCCCCCCTCAGGAATCAGCAGCCCAGAACGCAGTGAGCGCTCTGTATTCGGCTTATGGCGTGAGATACAGATATGGCCCTGCCTCCTCCACGCTTTGTAAGTTCAGTCTTTTTTTATATATACACAATCAATGACATAAAGCTGCTGCATGTTTGAGTCATCATCTTTCTATAAGGCCTCTCGGTTGGATGTCAGTCTATTTTCTGACTCATGACTATTTCTATATGAACAGCAGGCAAATGATAAACACAATTCTGATTTGAAATTCCTTTGGTATTTTGATTGCATGCAACTTTTTTTTTCATCTTGCAGTTTGAATGGACTCTTGGGACTAGAGATATAAGCTGAAGCTTTGGTTTAAATGCCTTTATTAATGTGATTATACTAGCAATGAATCTTTTAGATATCAAAAAGATTAACATGCTGTTGTTATTGGTTGCTAAAATGTGCTGAATTTAACAAAGGTGTCCTTACAATTTAGGCTAAATTTATACAGGCCCATAGCCAGCCTAGTTAAAGGGGTGGTTTGTTTTTCTTAAAAAGTGGACCTTTTTGCAGTTATTCGCCTAATTTTCTATTTAATTAGGAAGTTTTATTAGGCTGCATTTTAGTGACATTTTAAGCAAAAGTTTTTTTTGTTTTTTTTTTGCCGGATTTGCTGGTTGGATGGTCATCATAACCACTTATTGATGTCCCAAAAGCATTTGCTGAAGATTTAGAATAAAGAAATATGAGAACAAAACTTATATTTTACATACAAATTGAATGCATCATATATCTTTAGAAAAAAAAATAGGAATCTGCTAAAGTTTTCAATTAAAAACTAGCATATTGTCACTCAAAAATCATTCATTTAAATAAAAAATTGGCCAGCACGTTCAATTTTCCTCAGTCACAGTAAAACGACAGCCAACAGAGGATTACGCTTGGTGTTAAAGCCTTCTTCGATGGGTTATGTCACAATTTATTATGGCATAGCAGTCAAAATAGGAAAAATTAGCTCATATATGGGACAAATTCTGAACCTTTTTTCAGTGAGGGGTGGGTCTTTTGAAGATTGTGCTATATTATTTGTTGTCCATGGCATCAAAATTAGCATTTTAGTCGAAGAGGGAAAATTTAAATATTGACTCTTTTCACATTTCTGGGTTTCTCAGCAGCGGAAGTTAGAAGAATCATAGTTAGATAAACCTAAAGAGCAGTAAATGGCAGAGTATCACAACTAATTTTTTGTCATCCAATTTGCTCAAATTATAAAACTGCGATAGCGTTTTCACAAATTTGAAAACAGAAGTGAAAAAAAACCATTGTGTGAGACTGATAATGATAGGCATAAGAGCAAAAATGTCCAAACAAGGGCCTGCGGGTCAAAGTTGGCCCTTGGTAGTGAGAATGACGAGGAGGGATGGGGCGAATACCTTTAAAAGAGATGGTCGTTTCTAATTTAACGTAACCTTTTTTTGTTTGGTTTATTGATGAGCTACAAAAACAAACTGAAAATACATGTTTAAATTAAATGTTGTAAATGAATCAAATTTTATATATATATTTTTACAAATATAAATAGTCACTCAACGGATATAGGGCAATGCAGAACGCATTAGCGAGCAAATCAAGGCCAAAAAACAGCTGCAATGAGATTGGTGTAACGCCATTCTGTTATAAAAGTTTTTAATGGTATTGTTTTTTTACTGTAATAAGTTTATTCTAAAATAAAAATACATATTCTGCATTAGTACATATAAAGCAATGTTTTCTAGTTATTTTAAATTACCCATGGCAACTTTAATGCAATAGAGTTTGGTATATTTTACTTCGGCCCACCACCCTTGATCAAGTTTGAATACCCCTGCAAAAGAGAGAACCATTTCAAATGTACTGTCTCACTCATGGTGCAAAAGCATTAAGAGCTTGTCTGTATCCACTTTTGCTATTTTGAAGATGGAAAAATACGCTTTGCGCCATGGCGGCTGTGCTTATTCTCTTAATGAGTTATGGTTGTGTTTTGAGCATGACATGCATTTATCCAATCAGAGTCTCATCTCACATTCCGTTTAAGAGTCAGTTGTGTCGCACCATAGTACATTTACTATTTACATGGTAACTTTGTAAGTGGAAAAACTGATCGCTTAACTAGAGAGAAAAGAATTAAACAGACCATCTGCAGTGCGATGATAAAGAACGAGCCTCCTCCATTACGCCTCTTTACTTTTACTTTTTACTTTACTCCTTTACTTTTGTGGATAAGGAAATAGTATTGTACACACTCTACTGAAGACATCCATTAGCCTAAATATTTAATTTTGTTTGTTAAGTGCAAAGATTTGTTTTAAAACTATTTCTAAATTCATTTCTAATTTCCAGCAGAGTTATATCCAAACACATTCCTATTTTTTTGCCCCATATGGTGATGCACGTCTCCAAAACCCAACAGGTGAACAACACGCCTTAAAACACCTCCTTTTTAGACCAGCACACCAATGAGTCCACAAAGTGGCGCAAATAGATTTGCTATTTCAACAACTGGGTGCAAAACAGGAAAATTACTGTAGTGCTGGTCTGAAAATAGCAACAAATCGTGCCATACACGTCTTGTTCCTTATTGCGCCAAGTGTATGATGGGGCCCATAACCGTTAAATAGTTGTTGTTTTGTTATTTAAAGCAAAGTTGATATAATACATACAGTAGCTTAATAAATGTACACACATTAAAAAAAAATATTTAAGCTTTCAAGGATTTAAGTTGCTGATGACCGCTACACGAACAGCATCTTGTGAAAACGGTCAATTGTTAAATTTTTTTATTTCAATCATAATTTTCATTCTTTATTTAAAAAAAAAAGTTTTACATTAACTAAATATTTTGCTATGCTATTTTATTTGTTTGTCAATTTTTCTCTTATATAGCATCAAGTTGTATCTCATGGTTCAAAAATAGAGGGAAGAGGGAAAACTAAATATTTATAAATGTTTCTTTATTGGCCTTCTCTTTAACTTGCAGATGTGAGTTCTGGAAGCTCGATGGACTGGGCTTATAAGAACGGGATCCCATATGCCTTTGCTTTTGAGTTGCGCGACACAGGATACTATGGATTCCTGTTGCCAGAAGCCCTGATTAATCCAACCTGCACAGAGACCATGAGAGCTGTCAAAACCATCGCTTCAGGCCTGCTCAGAAAATGCACCAAATAAAACTTTCTACATGACTTTCAGGGTGTGTTCACACTTGTAGTTTGGTTAAAATGGTTCAGTTTGTGTTCAAACTGTCTTTGAACCTAAAACAAACAACTAAAGAAATGTTTTTTTGATGTACAGTTGGAGATGAAATGATTAGCCTTGCTGTAAAATGTTATTTATTAATTTTTGTAAGACCTTTTGTGCAAAAATCATTTTTATAATGGGTTTCAAAAGTTGTGGTGCAACAGTCTGTGAATATAAGCAGCTTCTAATGGTAAAAAATGATTAGTTAAATTTTTTATGATCACACTTCATAAAAAGTCTGCAGAAACACTTTGATTGACATTCAGCCTTTGTACATGTTGTCAGAGGGAGTAAGCCTCGCCCATCTCGACGTTTGTAGCTCCACCCTCTTTTGAAAAGAGGGCTGGGAACACAATCTTATTTGAATTTAAAGCGGCAGTCACCAAAATGGCACCATTAGCATCAAAAAGGGATTGTGTTAAAGAGTTATAAAAATATCTATGCGGCACACTCTAGGCACATCAAGGACTTATTTTACATCTTGAAAAAAGTGGCATAATAGGGTCTCTTTATAACTGCTAAGGTTGATACTATTAGCCTCTTAACAAATTATTATTTTTCAGATTGACTACTGTTGTTTAATGACATTACTTGTTAGTTATTTAAACTATTGTTTTTTTAAATGTGTTGGCAATCACTTGGAAAATATTTGGAAAAATATTACAATTTCAAAGTAGAGCTAATAATTCTGTGTTCAACTGTATTTCATGTATATTGAGAATAATCAAACATTCAAAACAATGCTCAATGTGCGCCTTGCATGTAATTATTGGTTGATTAAAAAACTAATTAAGAGCTTCTAAAAGTGTGTAAAGACAACCAAACTGCCAGTAGATGCGTTTATGATAACTCTCCTCAACTGTATTTGCAATATTGCAACTATGAACAGACAAAAAAAACAGATATGCTTGAGCATTTTGTCCTTTTTGAGTCACATCTTCTGATCTGTTTGTCTGATTCATATTTAAATAGAACCATTTGGAGCTTGTAAATTATCTGAATCGGATCTTTTCAGCAACCCCCATCTGCTTGTTTAATGCACACTAAGGTTTGAATGGCAGCGTTCACACCTGAAGCTTTCTAACAGAGCATTAACAATATGAGTTCATCCAAGAATTTAAAATTACTCCATATTCACTCACCCTCAAGTGGTTCCAAGTGTCTTTTTTTTCTGTACAACACTAAAGAAGATATTTAGAAATATCTTGAAAAACTGTAACCATCGCATCCATTCTAAATAAATAATATTAAGCCAATAGTAACTGTTTTCTGAAATTCTTCAAAATATCTTCTTTTGTGTTCAACAGAAGAAAGAAACTCAAACAGGTTTGTGACAAGTGAAGGGTGAGTGAATGATGACAGAATTTTGAGTTTTGGGCAACCTACTTCTTTAAGTCGACTACAGAGTTTTTAGGTCCAAATACTTTATAAGATCCCAAAAGCGAACAACAAAAGGTACTAAATAAATTATGCTCACAGTGTCATAATAGTATCATAATTTCTGGACAGACAGAGATTCATCTGTTATAAATTATAAATATCAGTGTCTGTAACACAGAAAGTCTAGACTCAGCAGACATACAACGTCATAAGACGTTAAAATTAGATTAGATTTAGGTGGCCAGTGTCTAAGGATAATGTTATTTTGACGTCCAATAATGACGTGAAATGACGTTGATAATTTGTTGACTTTAGGTTGTGTTAGGTAATCTTAATTATTTTATGTTCAATCCATTTAAATTTGTAAAAACAAATAAATTAACTTAATTCCTACATGTTGTCCCAACACCAAGCATTGACTTTGTGAAAGACTGGCTTTAATGTGCGATATGAATAAACAGAGTTTATAAGAGAGTTTTTTTTTTTTTTTTTTTCAAAATTTTAATAGAGACTTATAGTAGAGACTTGGACCCGGAAGCAGAACACCATTTCACAGCTTAACAGTATTGCAGTATTGTTTTTAAATCAAATATAAAGGAAAAAGTGTGAACACACCCTCCCTCTCATTTATCTCGATTTTTACTTCACAAGCCATACAAATGTCTTCAAGCTAAAACTAAAGGTTTATTTTTATAAACTACATAAATCAAGCTCTAAATGAAACAATGCAAATGTAAACTGCAAATTAATGCAAGCACTTGAAATGTGAACAAAATGATGTTTTTTATGAGGCCAAAATAAAGTGAGCACTTGCAAGTTTCAGAAGAACAGTGATGCCAATATAATGTAAATATTGCATACTGTGGTCTTACAGTGGGTTTATTCTGGTGTGGATGCCATGTGTTTCACTTCAGCTAAAATTAAAAGGGAAAAATGCTTTGAAACTAAATGGTGAAAGGTCAACAGGGATCTCAACCTCTCAAATGAGCTAGAAAGGAATACTCAAAGTTGTTGTTTTGGTTGAAAGAAAAGCTTGTCAGAGTGACTTAACTTGTATGAATATATGTTGCAAGTGCAATGTTTACATGTGTACTATCAAGTTTTATTTGCAATAAGCTAATATTTATTTCAAAAGAAACATACAGTACATTGTTCTATATATTTCGACTTGCAAGTTGTAATTTGTTATCTTTGTACACAGACCTTTGTATCTTACTGTTTATTTTACCAAAATGTTGTTTAGTAAAAGTACTTTTATAGCAATATGTTGTAAAGTGGTTTTATGATAATATAATGCTGCACATGAATACAGTTGCCAACATGCTGCATACAAACTTACACAGAGGTTATGATTTGTTGCATGTGGATGACATAAGGTTTAGTGTCCAAATATGATTAAGTTGCAAATTTAGGAATTAACACAATATTGATATACTGTGTGTTGCAAAAAAAAAAACTTATACTGTATATGATAGTAAACAAAACATAAATAAAAACATTATCAACCCTGTAAAAACTGCAAAAAAAGTGATATTGTGAAAACAGTGATGTCTAAAGTCATGGAATAGTGCCATACAACTTACTGTTAGCACTGTTGCCAGCAAGTTACCGCAACTGCCCATTTACTGTAACTTACCTGTGAATGTGTTTTACAGTAGCAGGGCCCTACCACAATTTTTTATTTTTTTTTACAGTAAATAGTCTTACTGCAACTTCTTTTTATGGTAAAATACCCTTTAATGCATCTTAATTTTACAATTTGACTAATTTTAAACTAGTTTTACTGTAATTCATTTACATTTTACACTTGCAGTATAAAACCTGTATTTTTAGCGTTTACTATGGAATTTAGTAAAATCCATACAACTATTTTTTCATCATGTCTTGTCTTCAACTACAGCAGCAGTGTTTGGTTACTTTGATTACAGTAAAATACAGCAAATTCGTAATATGCAGTAAGTTACAGTAAACATTTTAAAATGACCCACAATGAAGTGCATATCACAGTCTGTAAAGAATGTATGTGGTATTATACTGGCCGTTTTTGCAGTAAATAACTGTAAAACTACGGGAAAGTCTCACAGAGTACACTACAGTGCTGCATTGTAGACATGTAACATGTCCCACTTCTGACCTCAATGTGTTCCAGTCAGTCAGATGTCACCATCTCATATTCACCATGTGAGAATATTTCAATACATACTATTTTTTGGTAATTATGCTAAATACTTCAAAATTAATATAAAAAGCTGTCCATAGCTTTGAAAAAAAACAACAAATATGGTGACATTTAATTTTGCGCTAAGCTATTGTCATTAAAAATGGCCTTTATTATTGTGGTTTCCACTCATTTTATGCTGTAAAAATATATTTATATTTCAAATAAAGTAGCTCTAGACCAAAGATGGCCAAAGTAGGACCCGAGGGGCCAAAGTTGGCCCATTGTATCTTTTGATTTGGCCCACCATCCCATCTGACAGTGAGAATGATGGGTTGGGGTGAATGCTTTTAACAGCATCATTATTTCTAATTTGACGTAAGCTTTTTTTGTTTGTTTTATTGCTGAGCTACAAAATAAGCAAACTGAATTTAAATATTATAATTAAATGTTGTACAAGAATCTGATTTTTAAAAATGTAAATACTGCCTCTCGACAGATAGAGAACTACGCAGAAGACATCAGCGAGCAAATCAAGACAAAAAATTTGTGTAATTTGGTTATAAATTATTTTGTTCTGTTTTTACTGTATTAAGTTCATTATAAAATAAAATAAAAACAGTATAAGTAACTATAAAGCAGCATTTTATAGACATTTTTAAACATTATAAAATAAATTAGGAAATTACCCATGGCAACTGTAATTACCTTCGGCCCACTAGCTTTTAAGTTTGGCTTTTGGCCCTTCATAAGGAAAAGTTTGGGCAACACTGTTCTAGACTGATCTCAGTGGAAGCAGAAATAGCTGTCGTGACTTTAAATTATGAATCTTGATTGAGGATCAAATTTTGTGATTGTTCATCCACCAAAAAAGTAACAGAGGTGACTGTAAAAGGTTTGACAATTTCCTAACAATCTGCTAACTGCTAGCTAACAGGTTTGTATATAAATTTTAGAGCAATTTTAATTATACAAAATAACATTTAATTGACTTAAAAATATATAACATTGATGAAAGAATATTATGTTTCAGCCCAACTCTTTATTTATTGCTATAGCAGTTTTGTCTGTGGAAAATAAAGAACACATCCAAAGGTTCTGTGCGTCAGTGCTATACTATTTAAATAAAGATAAACCAGTGACTTTTGTTTTAGAAAGACCTTCTCTGCAAGCATGTGAAAACACAAGCAACTCATGTTTCAATCCATTAGTGATGTAGGAAGGGATTCAAGTATTCAATTTTACATTTACATGTATACGTTTCTAACTTAGTCAGACTTGGCACTCCATACAAGCATAGCATGCTAACTCTTCTCTCATTTCATTTTTTGAAGGAAATATCCTGAACTTAAGAGTTTCTGTAAAGTCTTTTGTGATTTGAGCAAAATATTCTTAAGCTAAACTTCAGTAACCAGGGTCAGTCAATGAATTCACTCAGCCATAATACATAACATAAATTTAATACATTTAATTACATAAATGTTTCCAATAATCATTCAGAAATGTTCCAGTTCAGTCTAAAAGTTGTAACCTCTTCCTCTCCATTATTGTTTGAACAGGCATGAACGTTTCAGATATTTTGTCTGCATGAGAATTGTTTTGTTATTCCTTGACTGTCATAGCATGTAAAAGCTCCGCCTTATTCTTGAAAGCAGCTCATTTGCATGTAAAGCGACACGCACAAAACCAGTGTTTTTGCTTACACCCAAATGGGGCAAATTTAGCTGTGATAAAAGACATTCTGCAGACACCGGAGATTTATTTGACGCCTTATAAAAAGGGGCTTGATATATTCCTTTTAAATGAACAGTAGAATATTTTTATTCATTGTATATTCTGAGTTTTGAGACTGTTAGAGAACAGACAGCTTTATATCGTCTGGCCTTGACTCATCCTCCGCATCTGATGTCAGCGTCTTTGTGTACAGAGCAATAACATTTCAGACATCTTGTAAATAAAATCTGAGAATAACTCAAAAAACAAACCAAATGTAGCGCCGCTTGATGAAGAGCACTGTTGCTTGTTCCTCATTAAGAACTGACTCATTAATCTCCATCAAACCTGCATAGAAAAAGAGAATTATAAATAAAATGTTATAAATAAAAATTTCTTTAATTTCTTTAGGTTCTTTCATTCAGGTTGGTAAATGATTCAAATAATTGTCAAAGGTTAATAAAATGACTAGACGTTTTTATGTATTTGCTAGTTTATTTATTATTTATTATATTATTTGTTTTTATTTTTAAATAAAAGAATAATTTTACAAGAGAACATTATTAGCCCCCTGTTTATATTTAAATTGCCTTTAAATTGCACTTTAGGCTGAATACTACTAGTGTCTTGAAAATATCTAGTAAAATATTGTTTACTGTTTTTTTTTTTTTTTTTTGCAATTAATGAGTTTTTGATACTATTAACAATATTGCTCAAAAATGTCCATATTCCTATTTCCATAAACCTTAATATAAATCTAATCGTCTAATAAGTGGTTAGCACTGTCGCCTCACAGCAAGAAGGTCGCTGGTTCAAGCCCCGGGTGAATCAGTTGGCATTTCTGTGTGGAGTTTGCTTGTTCTCCCTGTGTTTATGTGGGTTTCCTCCGGGGGCTCCGGTTTCCCCCACAGTCCAAAAACATGCGCCATAGGAAAATTGAATAAATTAAAATTGGGCATTGTGTATGAGTGTGAATGCGAGAGTGTATGGATGTTTACCAGTGCTGGGTTGCGGCAGGAAGGGCATCCGCTGCGTAAAACATATGCTGGATAAGTTGGCAGTTCATTCTGCTGAGACGACCTCTGATAAATAAATGGATTAAGCTTAAGGAAAATAAATGAATAAATGTTGATTCCACCAAATTCTTCACAATAAAATCAATCTAGGCTAAGGAAATTGGTAAGGATTTAGATTTTTATTATTATAATACTATATAATTTTAACATTGACATTAAAAATATGATTAAGAATTTTAAAATTCACATGGTCTAGTCACTTTTAAGATAACGTTAGGCCTGTGTTGTGTTGCATTACTAACTTGCTGTGTGTGCTGTCCAACTTTTGCACAGAATAACCACAGACTACAAATCTAAATTAGACTAAATCTATAACCACAACTAACAAAGAGGTGAGTTTACCATTTTGACGTTTTATATTTACAATTTATACGTTATATATATTCTCTCGCATTTATCTAATCTTTTATTATTATCATTTATTTTATTAGTTCATCTTAACCTCGCTTCATTTAAATCTCTGTTAATTATATTTATCTATATTTTATTTATAATTTGTTACACTCCCTCACCGTCTCCTCACTCTGCCTCACTGCGGCCGTTTCTACGTGCGTGACGTCATTTCCTTCCAACATGGCGCAGGCAGCAGGTCGCTGATGGAAAACTGAGGGATTTACCCCACCTTCTGGCTTTATTTATGTTTCTCAATTGAGGGCACCATCCGCCGGAGAAAAGCTCAATCATACGGGAATATCTAAAAATCGCGGAACCAGCCTCCACTGGGACAGGCCCTCCTCGCCCCGTTCGCACCGCGTCATGTATGAAGGCAAAAAGACGAAAAACATGTTTTTAACCAGAGCTTTGGAGAAGATCTTGGCCGACAAGGAGGTGAAAAAGGCTCATCACTCGCAGCTGCGCAAAGCCTGTGAGGTGGCATTAGGTCAGTATCATTTCGATGCTTTGATAGCAGTGTTTTAGTTGCTTTCAGATCTGCATGTGTGCCTTTAATCCTGCCGGTAGAGAAACGGAGCAGCTTCCGAAGAGCTGCATAAATCCAGCATTGCGGAAGTTATTAACATTCTACCTGAAAAAAGATTCGATTTAAACCTGTGTCTATTCCTTTAGTATTCTGTGTTGGTATTTAAGCTTTCTTGGCTCGGATAGATCATATTTAGTTGATGCACGAACGAGGAAACAGGTAAAGGAAAGCAGGAACTGACAGGGCGAGTTTGTCCTCTTTGACAGGAGCTCATTTCTTCATACCTATCTGCACAGAATTATCCATTCCTTTTAAAAGACTGGATCTTATTATAGCCCTTTAAACATTCAAACGAGTCCTTTACATTCACATGAATGTCATTGAAAGATCATTAAACGTAAAGACCCACTTGTATTTTTACAATAACAATAGCATTTTAGCCTTATATAGAGCTTTTTCTTCTTGCACGACAATGTAGCTTACAAATGAACCTGTTATGCCACTTAGATATATAGAAATCTGTTTGCACTATCTTCAGTTTCCTTCAATAACAACAATGACTGGGCAATATGGAGAGAATCGCAGGTGGCGGTTGTTGATTGTTTTGGCGATGTAGCTTAATGTTTTAATTTGCTTTTAAATAAGATCAGGATGTATTTATGTGGTGGTTAAACTTATTGAAATATATACTAAGGATGCGTAACCATTGCAATCAGGCTCCGCGGAGTTGTTCATTTGAATCGGCTCTTATGGACGGTCGTTTTGAATGAGCGTTTGTAAACAAAGTCTCGACTGTATTCTAAAATAGGCTCACACTTAAAATTATGTGCGTTGATATCTGTTTTGTTACTAATTGTGCATTACATTGTAACAAGCAATAGTCGCCTTTCTTTATAATCTTTCATTAAAATCGGTTCATTTGAATGAACTCTCTAAAAGAGCCGATTCGGTGAACTGATTCGGACTAGTTTGGATGGGCGTAACGGAAGTGGTAGGGGTTGAGCTACTACTCTATATGGGTTTGTTTGGGATAAGGTGAATGTCTGCCTCCGTCATGCATTTCTCATTATCAGCGGTCAATAATGCATGCACGGTGGAAGTTAAATTACAGTGCATTATTAAAGGGGGAAGAAAGCAATGGCGTCCAGCCAGCCTTCTTGAATCACATGCACTTTGCATTGTGCATGCAGTGTTGTTGCTTCAGAATGCTTTACTGCATTGCAAACTGTCATTTTTATACTAGAGAGTTTAGTGGTGAATTTAATAGCAATTGGGATTTGTAGCAGATTCAGGAGTGTATTTCATATACAATAGGATTTTGGGCTGTGATTTGCTTCACGTACAAGGAGATATGAAGATGTAAAGGACAGCCACAGTCAAATATTGTGGTAGAGAGTTTAATTTATTTCATTCTGCTTGGCAAACATGGGGAAACTGTGAACCCTTTCTCTTTGTGCTAGTTAGTGAATAAATTAGGTCATATCTAGTGAGCTGTTTTTTTTACACTACTAAGACAAAGTTTCCAGTGCAGGCCTTTATCCCCGCAGATCTGCTCTCTGGGTACCTAAAAGATGAAACAGGCTTACATTGATTACAACAGACTGATGCACTGTATACAACCTCATTTTATACAATAATTGGGCATATGGATAATGAATATAGTGTTAGTTCACCCCAGAATAAAAATGTCTTCATTGAGTCCCCTCAAGTCTTTCCAAAGTCAAAAGATCTTAAAAGACAATATTTAGTACTTTCTATTTTTAAACACAAATTGAGATATTTTTATATAATATCTGAAGTATTGAAATAGTTATATAGTAATAAACAACAGTCTATCAAACAATTCAGTATTGATGCATCTATACTCAAATGCTACTTGTTTGGTATCAACACCTTAACAAATATTTCAGTATTAAAGAAATATTAATGCAAAGGTGGGTCTCCAAAAAACATCTAGATTTTATTGTTGATTTGTAAACATGGTTATAAAGGTTAAAGCATGTAGAAATATGAACTTGGTAAAAAAAAAAAAAAAGGGAAAAGTTGCTAATGGCACATGTTATGTTGGTATTTAAGTAGGGCCTTATGTAATATACAACTGTTTTCATCACTGAATTCTGCAATTTTGTTCATGTTTATGCATGACAAAAATTATAATATTATTATCATGTTTATTATTTTAGCAATAATTAATGAATTGACCGATATTTCTGCGAAATATTATATTTAAGAACATGATCTGAATTACAATTGTAATTTTTCTCTAAAAATTAACATTAATAGTAAAAAAAACAAACAAAACACATTATCTTTGAGAAATAGACAATATCGACAATATAATAACAAAACAAAAATCAGTATGTTTCAAAAAAAAAAAAAAAAAAAACATTTGCATTGCACATCCCTACTTATGCTGTTTCAATTAATAAGTGTAAGTAAATTATATATAAAAAAAGTTTGTGATGAACTTATATTGTGATTAAAAATGCTATTGTTTTATTATTATTTAACCACCTCAATTTATTAGTGTTCACATCCCTTATGAAAAGGTGTTTGTGTTGGGGTGTGATATTGAGCTTTTCTGCTGAAGAATACAGTCATTTATTGCATATCCAGGATAAAATGTGACCTTTTGCTTTGATGTCAGAGTTATGACAGCATCAACTTCAGAGAAATCCTGTCATTATTGTCTAACCAGTTTATTTGCCACACTGACTGGATGAGGTCCCACACATCAGTTAAAGCTGTTCACTCTGCTTCAATCTACTTTTATTTTTAACTCACTTCCCAATATTTTTTATCTGCATATAGTGAGGAAGTACATTTTTATATGATGGGGAATTTATAGGCGTTTCTGTTAAAGAAGTCTAAAGACAAGAGTTGCTGGGATGTTTTCGAAAAATGGGTCACTAAAAGGCTGCGAGATTAAGGTGTTTGAAATCGTATTCTTTGCAGATACAGCTAGCATATTGTTTTCATGTTGAGTAAGTGTTTAGCAGTCTGCCGGATGACTCTTCCTTTGCTTTGGGAAAAGAAGTTTGCTTAAAGAGATGTTTAGACTTAATAGGAATATTAAAAAAAAAAAAAAAATAGTGAAAATGTTAAAATACTTTTATAGTTTTTTTTATTACACATTTAGTGTTTTACTATAATTTATTAGTATTTAGTTTTTTATAGTATTTTACTTTTATGTTTTTTATAGTATTTTTAAAGAAAATAGTAGGGCTGCACAATATATCGTTTTAGCATCGAAATCGCAATGTGCATGTTCGCAATAGTCACATCGCAGTATCTGCATTGCACAGTGTTAAGTTTATATTTGATTATTCAATAATAGGGCCAGGACAAAATATCGATGCTGGTTTACTGTGATATTTCCACCCGCGATACATTATTGATGTAGCCAAGTATCAATATTTACAAAAGATCTGAACTCATTTGTCAGCCTTGCACTGCTTCTTTTTACCACTTAAGGCTGATTTATACTTCTGCGTTAAACACACCGGCTTATGGTCCGGCAAAGCCTTCATACAGTCGCATAGCTCTCGTCCTGGCTGATGTTGACGCTAACGCGCACCTCTCAAAAAATGTAACTACACATTGCAATGATGCAAAATAAAAGCAAACATCACTTTTAACATCACTGCTGAGGAATGGGGCGAGGCAGTGGCGCAGTAGGTAGTGCTGTTGCCTCACAGCAAGAAGGTCGCTGGTTCGAACCTCGGCTCAGTTGTCATTTCTGTGTGGAGTTTGCATGTTCTCCCTGCGTTCGCGTGGGTTTCCTCCGGGTGTTCCCCCACAGTCCAAAGACATGCGGTACAGGTGAATTGGGTAGGCTAAACTGTCAGTAGTGTATGAGTGTGTGTTAATGTGTGTGTGGATGTTTCCCAGAGATGGATTTCGGCTGGAAGGGCATCCGCTGCTTAAAAACTTGCTGGATAAGTTGGCGGTTCATTCCGCTGTGGCGACCCCAGATAATTAAAGGGACTAAGCCGACAAGAAAATGAATAAATGCTGAGAATGGTCTGCTTCCAAATAAACTTGAACACAAGAAAAACTAAAGACATCTGAAGAAAGCAAAAACAGAATATGATGTCACAAGAATAATCATAGAACAAAAGAATATGTATGTATACCTGTTTTTGTAATTCGAATTTTAAAACGTATAACATGTTATTATAAACATTTTTCATAGTTGCAACATTGCCCATTACAGTTTATTTCAGGTGTTGTAAATGTGTGTCCTCTCAGCAGATCTTTCATTTGTGTTCAAAGAGACATTTCTGAGGATGTTTTGACTAATTTGCATGTTTTATAAGAATAAAAACTCTCAACTGATAAAAACCATCACTTGTGTGCACATTCAACACATGGATTAGCCCAGCATACAGCCTTGTTTTGACTGTTCGGTGAGTTCTGTTGGAAAATATATAGTTTGTTTTGTATCTTAAGGGTTGCCGCTAAAAATGTCAGTGTGAACACTTAATTGAAGTAAATAGATTTTTATCTTTTTGCTCCAGAACAAAAGCAAAACAATCCAGACAAAGAGTAAAGGGAATTAAAATGCATAATTGAAAACATTTCAGGCTAAGTGACCCTGTTTTTCCTTTTAAACAGTGTAGTTTTGACATTGTGTGATTTTTATATTCACGCACATCTTATTTCCTGAAAATATGACAAATAATGACAGGCTTTTTGTTGTTGTTGATGATGTTTTATGTTTGGATGAACTGACATTTAAAATAGATATTTAATTGGATAAAGTATTCATGAAATACAGTGGTGTTGTTATCTGGTGTGAGGGATATGTTCCGAAAGTGAAGATGGATCCATTAACAGCCTATATATACAGCAAGGAGAATTTCTTGTTCCTTAAGCACAATAAATACTTGCAGAGCAGGTTAAACAAGTTTATTACTTTGTATTTCAAGCAAAACTATGCAGCCTGAATAGACCGGACCCCGAGGTTGAGCCTTCTTTTG